ACAGCACAGTCAGCCCCAAACCCAGTGGCTCCCACGGGAACATCTCATCCGCTCCTAAAGCCATGCTCTGGGCAGGCTGGGTGCAGTGCCAGACACTTAGTACTCACCCTGCCCGGGGCACTGACTCTTCCTAGGCCTGAGCCTCAGTTTCCTTCCCTGCATGGCAGAGATGGAGTGAGATCTGTCTCCTCCCGAATTCACTCCAAAGGGGAAAATGTTCCTCTGTGGGGCAGCTGGGGAGCAAGCACTCTTTACTCACTGAAGGAAGCAGAAGCAAGGGTGGAAACTCTAGGTAAAAGGTCCATCCGTCAGGGGAGGATGATCAACAGCACCAAAGTGACTGTTGTAAGCCTCCCCCATGTGGACCACATACCCTGACCCTAGGCCCAATGGACTCCAGGGCTGGAGACCTCACTGGCTCTAGGGCAGCAGCTGCCCATGTGAATCACTTAGCCTCAGCATTCAGAGTGGGAGAGACAAGAAATTTGCCACAACCAAACCCTGGGGCCCTAGGAGGCCGAGGCGGGATAACCTGGAGCTTGGCCATGTGTGGTTCCTGTGTGTCTTGTGGTGCCCAGAGCTCCAGCGCTAACATCCAGGCCTCTGACAGCTCTGTCTCACATACTGGGTGATTGTACAGTGGTCCCTGAGGCCAGGGTCCTTGCAGTTTGGAGCAGTGAGGTCACTCCCCAAGACTGAAGGCCCGCACCAGGAACAGCAGCGTGTCCTTACAATACACAGCATGCACAGGAGGCCAGAGTGGAGGTCACACCCGTGATCCCAGATACTTGGAGACGGAGGCAGGAGCATGGTGAGCTCAAGGTCAGCCAGGGCAGCAGAGTGAGCTCCCATTTCCAAGAAGTTACAAAGTGTACAAGAGCGGGCACTGTGTGGGGGTGGAGACCTTGCCCAGCTGCCTGAGGCCTTGGGTTAGGGTGCAGAGCAGAAGCAAAGCAAGAAGCGAAGCAGTGATGTGGTGACAACTTAGAGTCAGCTTGCTTAGTAAGCGTTTTCCTGTCTAGTGGGAAAATCTCTACCTCAGTGAAGCCACTGCTGTCTGCAAACCAAGGCTTAACCTGTCAATGTGCAGCAACTTTTTAGTTATGCATTTATCGATTGATTGATTGGTGGCAGCAATTGAACTCAGAACCTTGTGCTAGCCAGGCACACAGTTGCACCACTGAGTTATATGTGGGGCAGCAGCTTCTTTTTAAATTGGGCTTTTATTTTCACTTATTTATTTATTTAGGTTTTCCCAGATAAGGTCTCACTATGTGGCCTGGGTTGGCCCTGAGTTCAAAGCGATCCTCCGGCCTCAGCCTCCTGAATGCTAGGATTACAGGGGTGCACCACATTGCCTGGCTCATTAAACTGGGACTTTAAATCAGAAGTGATTTAAACAGTCCCACATTTCTGAACAAAAGCAGGTACAACAAGTATTTGGGCAGAGGGAAGTGACCTCGTGCTTTCTCTCAGTCGGTCTGCATGCCCCCCAGCATTCTCCCGGAGGGAATGGGGGGCAGCTCACCAGTGTGCTTGGTTCCGGAGTGAAAACTGAGTTGCAGAGCACATGAAGCAAAGCCCCTAACAGAAACCTCAGGTGGCTACTTTGCCTTAGCAAAAGGATGCAAGCAGCAAAGGTAACAACATCTCATTGCTGCCTCCCACCCAAAGAGAAATCCAGGAGGGTGAGGGCCAGGCAGGGGCTGCCTAGCAGCACAGCCAGGCAAAAGAGGCCCACATCAGCTCCGGAATTGCTCACAGTCCTCTGGACTCCAGAATGAATGGGCGGGGTGTGCCGATCAGGAGCTCAAGCAAAGGGTCCTGGTGGTGGTGCAGGTTTATAATCCCAGCACCTGGGAGGCTGAAACAGGAGGATCAGAAGTTTGAGTTCAGCCTACACAATTTAGTGAGACTCTGTTTCAAAATTAAAAAAAAAAATTTTTTTTTTGGCACCAGGAATCAAACTCAGGACCTTGCACTTGCCAGGTAGGGGTGTGTCTGAGCTAAATCCCCAGCCCCAAATAAACACATCTAAAGAGGGTTAGGGATGTAACTCAGTGTGACGGCCCTGAATTCAATCCCCAGGACTGATCGAAAAAAGGGGGAGGGGATGGGAGACAGATAACATCCCAACTCTCCTGCATATGCTGTAGAGCTAAAGAGCCACATATTATTTAGTGGGAATGACCATGGTGTGGCTCTAAAAGCATGGGACAGTGGGTGCTGTAGTGCATACCTGTACCCTCAGCCCTCAGAAGGCTGAGGCAGGAGGGTGATTTCCAGAGCAGCCTGGGTAACTTCATGAGCTAAGGCCAACCAGGACTGCAGGGCTGCACGGTGAAACCCGGGCTCTGGGTGAATACCTTAAATGAGTAGACGTGAGGGACACCTTTAATAGAGTCTGCCTAGAGCCACATGAATGTGGGCTACCTGGGCCCAGCGCCTGCTCTCACTACACGGGGTACACGGTAGGCCATGCTCACTTCTCTGAGGCGTGGGACTGTGTGGCCCATGGCAGCAGGAAGTACGGATCCCTTTTCCCTGGGCGATGTCCTTCTCAGACCTGGGGAACCTTTCTGCTCCCCCAACCTGTCCAGCTCAGAGCAGAAGGCCTGTGAACCAACACCGCAGTCCTGCTGAGCTGCACCAGCGCCGCGGCCACGTAAGGGACAGAACAGGCTCCAGGGAGGCTGCTGTCCAGGGACCCGGTCCCGGCTAACTGCACTTCTGCCCAGCACCAGCTCCTAGACCCACTCTCCCCTGGGGAGTGTCTGCACAGTCCCCTGGAAGTATCAGGTGATTCAAACTCCGGGTCACACACTGCTCCACCACCCACATTTCTAGGGAAGAAAGCAGCCAGCAGCAACTTGTCCTCATCTCACTGTCGATGCAAACGCACCAGGAACCCCAGCACTTGGAACACTTCCTGCCAGGCCTGGTACATACCGCCCCACTTGCTTCTCAGATCCCTCTGCAATGCTAGACCCCGAAACCTAAGCCACTTTCTCAAGAGCAAACCTCACAGAAGCAAAGGCTGAGTTCAATCCACTTGTGCTATCTGTCTGCACTTCTGAGACGTCTACACCAGAGAAAATACTAAGAAACCTAGTTTAAGCAACTGTGTTTAAACCTTTGTTCCCCTTAACTGTCATTTAGGGCCAACCAGAAGTGAGAGCTGGTGTGGTGCACAGCTGTAATCTCAGCACTCAGGAGGCTGAGCCAGGAGGATCCTTGCAAAGTTCCAGATCATTGTGGCCTACAAAGTGAGTTCAAGGCCAGCTTGAACTATATAGTGAGACCCTGTCTCAAAAAGACAAACAAAAACAAAAAAAAAAAAGTGAGAAAGTACCATAAGATTTTCCATAAACAGTCCTTATTCTTGTCATCACTGAACTTCTATCAGCCATTGTAGTTCTCTAACGTGCCTTCTGTTCATTATCTGTCTAGGTAAATCTCATGGAGTTTGTAACACTCCAGATTCTTACACGCTATGGAGCTGTGCTGCAAAGCAAACGCCTAAATGGATGTGCAAATACTAATTGCAAGGAGTTGCAATTCTGGCCAAGTATACTGGCACAAGTGTGTGATCCTGGTGTTCTAGGAGGCTGACGCAGGAGGTCTGGAAGTTTGAGGCCAGCTTCCACAACTCAGTAACTTCTGGGGACCTGTCCCTGTCTTGAAATAGAAAACAAAAAGGGATAGGGATCTAGCTCAGTGCAAAAGCCGCGCTGCAACTCCCAGGACCATACACGGACACCACGTGAGCTAAAATTCGAATGTCTCACCAACGACAATTCACACTTGACTATTAAGTAACCCTCTCTAATGGAAGCTGACCGAGGAAATTGATGTGTCTCATAAGAATAAAATCCTCCACAATCAAATGGCCAGAAAACAAGTTTTATGCACAAAGCTGCCACCCTACCTCTACCCATGGACAATTAGGGACCCAGTATGTCAGTGTCATGGACAGGTCTGAGTCAGTGGCCCTCAAACTGACCCAGAAGTCAAGTCATTTCTGTGCAACCACTCAACCGATTCACAGAAGCAGCCACAGACAGTCCACGGGAAGTGAGCATGGCTGTGTCCCAGCGGAATTATTTCCAGGCATTAACATTTGAATTTCGTATCATTTCTGTGTCATTAAGTAGGAGCTTCTTGTAAGCCTGTAGGACAGACCATTTGAGGCACACAGGCCAAACAAAAATAGGCTCAGGGCTGGGTGTGCTGGCCGTACAGTCATTTCCTGACCATAGGTCTCAAGATAAATTCTCCTGGACACACATTTGCTGGCAACTAGGTAACTTCGATTGCACTAACAAGTGACAAAAGGAACATCATTTGCTTAAGGCTCTGTCTAAACTGCTGGTGTATAAGTGTTCAGGCTGATGTGCTACAGGTTATCCACTTAAATCAAATATACTGCTAGAGAAACAAACGGGCCAAGTTTCATTTATTCGCAATCAGTCTGTATAGCTCTCACTTGAGCAGCGGAAGCACTGGACTTCACAACAGTACTGGCTGCACTTGCCAGTGTAACACAGCAAGGGTGCACTCTCTGGAAGACACACTTACATGCTTTATACAAGTCAGTAACAGTGGCCATGCTATGATCCTCAGCAGCAAATTTGTGGTCTCAGTTTCCTGACTAAACCACTTGGGCCTGATTCAGTAAAAACGTACCCATCTTTTAAAAGTAGCCATCTGGGGAACAAACCAGCATATAAAATTCTTGTCATGTAAAATTTAATCATTTACCTTTTTAAAAAATAATCTTTCAACCTTAAACCTTTGCCATTCAATTGCTGTATGGATACACATTATGGCAGCCAGCAACAAATTTGCAACAGGCTATAGTTTTAGCAACTGGACTAACCAGAAGTGTGACGTTTTATTAAGATGGAACAGCTAAATGAAACCTTTACTTTCCACATTTAATGTGCTATGTTGCTTCCAAATCACATTCCCTTCCCCTCAAAAATCAGTCTGAGACTCACTGAAGTGTTGAACTCAAACCTGTATTTGCAGTTTCTAAAACACAGACCCACAGCGCACTGTCCGGTTACATGGGTACCAGGGAAAGCGAAGGCAGAGAACCCTCGTCCCCTCTGGAGAAGAAGGGCCCCTGGGCTGGGTCCTTTAAAAATACACATCTGACAAAGTTCACACCTCCAGCAAGGCGGCGATGGAATAAATACACTGGTCCATCTGTCCCTCCGTTACCGGAAGTCCACAAACTACCTGCTGTATGCCCTTTCCTTTTTGGACTTCTCCAGGGCTTTGTCCATGGTCTTCTCATTTTCCCCCCGACACTTGGGACAGTACCACTTGCCCTTTGGTTTATGGTTGAGCCCCACACAGGAGAAGTGGAACCACTCGATGGGACACTCCTCGTTGTCACAGCCGATCATCTCCCCGTAGGAGACCTGATTGCACAGACAGTACGTTGGCTCGTTGGGGTCGATGGGGAGGTCTGCAGGGGACGCTTCCCTCTCCGCTTTGGCCTTGGAACGTTTCTTCTTCTTGGAGGTTTTCGCTTTCTTCTCCTTGGGTGTTCCCGAGGTGATGTCATCATGGTCGTGATTATTAGAGGCGTTCTCTCGATTCTCGTTGTTCCGCTGCCGCCGGGACCGCTTGTTGTTGGGCTTTTCTGCCAAACTGATTGTCTCATTCTTGGACTTGTCTTGGCCAGCTTTGCCGATGCTGCCGGTGGTGTCACCAATCTCCTGGTGGGCCTCGAAGAACTCCACGTGACTGTCCACTTGTCTGGTCCGGTTTTCCACCAGCTCCACCATCTGACTCACGATCTGGATCTTCTCGTCCCCCAGCTCCTGGCTGCGGATCAGGGCTCGCTGGATGCCGTGCAGTAGCCGCCGCTTCTGGGTGCCGTCGGTCTCACGCTTGAACTTCTCGTAGTACTCATCCAGCTCCTTTAGGATCTCTGCAAACAGAAACAGTGAGTTACACAGTGCAGGGGGCCTTCGGCCTCTCGCCTGTGAAAGGGTAACTGCAAAGACCAGCAGTGACCAAGCCAAGTTTGCCATGTAGAAATCCTGCTCCCTGCACATTTTTAGACTTAATCAGCAGAGGGAATAGTCTATGGGAGAATACATACAACTTTCCAGTACAGCTCCTGTGGTTAACACCAGGGGACCAGACACTGAGATACAGACTAAGGCACAGGGTTTCCCATCACCTCATGGTCACCCCTGCACCTTGCTCTTCCATACCACTGAAAACAAAAACGGTCTGGTTGTCATAAACCTGAACCACAACTTAGAACTAAAACACAACTTGGTTTTGCTTTAACTTCCTTTTACATCTACTGCTTACAATGCCATTTTTAGAGTTGCAGAAGTCAACAGATTAGTATCAAAAACAAAAACGTACAGTGTAGTGATTTAAAAGTATAACTTAGCAAAAGCAATTAGATAACTTCTCAGGAAAAAGCTGTTATAATCTAGTTAAAACATAGGAACTAAGGGCTGGGGATTTAACTCAGCGGCATAAGCGCCTGCCTTGCAAGCAGGCAGTCGTGAGTTCATTCCCTGGTATGGATAAAAAGGAAAAAGACCAAAAAAAAAAAAAAAAAAAAAAAAAGCCTATTTAGATACAGAAAGTTCCCAAAATTATTTTTCACAAGCAACAGACAGCACCAGATATTTCTCCTGAAACTATTCTGCAGGCTCCACATCAGACTCTTCAACAAAGAGGTATGTGTCGAGTGGGGGACTGGAGAATCTACAGCGCTCCCACCACTCTTTGCAGACCTTATTTCTGAACATAAGACGCGACCTGACTTCCAAATAAACGTGAACGCAGGCCGGTGCTGAGGCACACATTAACAATAAAGACCGTATTCCGGCTCTGTAGGTATTTCCTACAGGAACCGCGCAGACCATCACCAGAAAGGAGAGACAAGGGCCTCACAAGTTCACCCGAACTCTTTCTGCAAATCTACCCATCCAACTCACTTAACTCTTATGTTAACCTGAGTTTGAGCCTTTTGGTTTTAAACAGACTGCAAGTTTCAGAGGTGTACCATCCCAGAAGATATAATGCTGTCCTATCGATAACATGCAGCTTTTTACAACACAAGCAAGCTCACATCCAACTGAAGTCTCGCCTGTAGGGAATTACCACGAAGTAACTCCGAAGAATACATTTCTTAGTATTCTGTCAAAACAGCCACTGAGAGGAATAAAAGAGGGCAGTGACACTGGGCTAAGCACGAGGCGGGTGAACCACCGTGAAGCTTCAGACCATGGTCGAGCCTGTGTGCTGAAAATGTTCCACAACAAAAAACAAGCATGACAGAAAGGATTAAATGGACGGCAAAAGAATATGCACTGCCCGATTACTGCTGTGTATTTTAGTTTCATACACACTTGCATTCCGATGCTTTAAGGGCAAGCTTCCCTTGAGGCGGGCAACCTCGAACGCCACCTACAACAGGTGGACCACATCCCTCCTCCTGGTTGGCCCACACCGACGCGCACTAAGCAGACTGTGAAGCAGAATGTGACCCGGTGCCGCCGGCCGCGGGGGCGGATTCTTCGGTCTGGCAGGGTCAGACACACCACCTTCCCCTGACGATGCCTGGAAAGACGAAACCCAAACCGCCGCCCCGCGCAGTGCCCCAGGCACCCGAGACGCACCCTCGGGTCCGCAGAGACGTGGCCCGCAGCTCCTGTGGATTACAGAGGTAGAGCCCACAGTCAGAGGCGCTACTTGAAACCACGTCTAACTCCATCGCTCTCTGGCCGGAAGTAGCCGGACGCCGTCAAAGGAAGGGAAGAGGAGGGGCAGGGCGATTCCTGCCAATGGGAAAGGAAACATCCGCCCCGCCCCTGAAAACCACCGCCTGTAAAGACCAGTGAGCCGGAGGGCGTAGGCCAAAGAGCCGCCAATCAAAGTGCAGGACTTGAGAGCACAGCCCTCCCTAGTAGCACCAGGAGCCAACCCTGGGCCCGAGGCCGAGTGACCCGAAGGCTTTCAAACTCGACCTCCTCCTAACGCTCCGCCCCTCTATGAAAGAGGAAAAAAAAAAGAAGGCAGCGGAAACACAGATTCGTGCCACTCACTGAGCAAGGCCCACCCTTAGCAGGCCCAGCTACCAATCGTGTGGTAGCGGACTGATAAGGACATTCCACGGGAGACGTCACAACCAATCACAGGGAGGTTGGGGCGGAACGTTCCGCAATATGCTAATGAAGTTCCTATAAATTTCTCTGCGAAGCTACCTCTCCGGCAGAGCGCGCAGGGGCGCTTTGGCTTAATGGGGAGGTTTAGCGTGTGTCACGGCTCGCAATCGTCTTCCACTCCTCCCCCCAACTCTACCGTTTCCCTGCTGTGCAACCCTGTAAACATTAGTAAACTCCGATCTACGACCCACTTTGAAAACAGGGCCTCCAACGCCTTGCCTGACCGCGCAAGAAAGTTTCCCCAACAGCCAGCAATTCCCGGCCGGCACAGAGCTTGCACCGCTCTCCGACACTTCGGCGGCCGGGTCTGCAGGGCAGGACCCACAGGTCCCCCCTCCCAGCCTCGTTCCGCTCCGAGTCGCCTGGGCAAAGCACAGACGGGCGCCTACCTCGCCTGCGCTCCTCCCCTCCCCTCCCTTTCCATCGCACACCCGAAAAAAGCCCTCGTCCTCCGCAAACTAGCCGGCAGCGTCGCCCCTCGCAGTCGGCCCCACTCCGCCGCGTCCAGTGTCAAGGGAGCCTTGGCGGGGGCGACGAGCGACCCCGAGCTCGGACAACCCGGGACTTTACATAACCCGGCTCTGGGACCGGGCGGGGGGCAGCGGCGAGAGACTGGGGGCGGCGTCGGTCCGGCACGCGCGAACTGCGGCCACCCCTCCGGTGCCCCCTCCCCCGCCCCGCCGCCGCCTCGCTCACTACAAAGAGCGCTCTGGCCGCACAGCCTGCAGCAAGCCTCTCGCTACCTCTTCCTCGGGCCCGGCCCCGCACCGGATTTCGGTGGATCGCTGGCGCCAGCCCTTTTGTTCCCGCCCCGCGGGCCCCGCTGCCCGGTGCAGCAGGACCGGCCGCCCGGCGCGCGGACCCTGTAGTCGCGGCCGCCCCCGCCCATCCATCACCGCCTTACCTTGGTATTTCGCGTCGATCTCCCGCATCAGCGAGACGTTCCTCTGCAGGTCGAAAGGCAGGGACTCGATGGAGTCCAGGTAGTCCTCCACATAGTTCACCAGGTGGATCTGCTCCCCGTTGGCAGGACTCAACATGGTTCACCCCGGAGGTCCCCGGCGACTCGGCGCGGCTTTCCGCTTCCTCCACCCCCCGCCCCCCTCCAAAACAGCACTGCAAAATGCACGGCGCTCGCCCTCCCGCGCCCCCCCGCCGGCTCCGGCCCGCCCGGCCGCCGCTACATCGGCCGCCTTGGGGCTGTAAGGACCCCGACGCCTGGGCGCGGGCCGCGGCAGCAGAGGCTCCGGGGCGCAGGCCCCCTCCCCGGCGGCGGCGGGCGCAGGGGGCCGCGCGTACGGGCGCGCACACACCGACCGGGAGAGCGCCGGGCGCCGCGACCGCCACCTGGTCAGGCTGGGCAGCGCCGTGGGGCAGGGCCGGCCGCGAGAAGGGCGCGCTCGGTCGCCTGCCGCTCCGCACTTGTCCAACGTGGAAAACCCAAATACCAGTTTCAAACACTTGGGAAACATTCAGCCCCGCGCGCAGCGCGCATGCGCCCCGCCCCCCCTGCCGGCTCCCGGGCAGCGGCCCCGCCCCCGCCGCATTCACGCCCCTCACCGTCCCGGGCCGGGGGGCGGCGGGCCGCGAGGCAGGCCTGTGGGGGCGTGGCTTCGCCTGTCACTGATGCTGGGGGCGAGGGTCGCGGAGGAGGCCGTGGCGTGATCGCCGGGACTGGGGCGGTAAGCGACGTACAAACTTTGCTATGAGTTTGGCACTTGATGGCGAGCCTGCTGTGCTGCGCTGCACGCCGGCAGGGAGATGCACGATGGTGGCCTGCTTCACTGAAGACCCGCCCAGGCTGGACGGCCCGCGGGACCGCTGCTTCAGAGACTATGACATACAACGGGTACCGCCTCCGTGTCCCCCAGCCTTACTCACCCCGCCCCCCAGTCCGGTGTAAGTAGTGTCCGGGACAGAACTGGCAACTCTCAGAGCCAATCCACCTTCCGCTCTTACCTCGATGGCCAATGAGCATGAAGAAGGGGCGTGGCCATAGCAGATAACTCCTCCGGGGCTTCTACTACTAGAGAGACGGGTCCTCTGGAGGCGGGCAGAGAGGGCGGGCTCAGGCGAGGCGGAAGTAATGGCGCACGCGCACTGGGGTCCGCGCGAGAGGGAACGAACTGTCGCGAGGTGGGACCACCACTCCCAGCAGCCTCCGCACTTCCTGCGCCTGCGCTGCTTGCCACCGCCCTCCCTTTGTGTTCCCTCCTGCTGCTCAATTTGGAAAGGCTCGGAGACAAAGGGCCCCTGGAGGGGAGCTGCTCCTCAGGGCTGAGGCCCCTCGGAGGGCGAGCCGACAGGAGCGACGCCTCCCGTGACCTTATCCCAACGCCGTCCTGTGCCCTATGATGCGCTCTCCCTTCGTCCCCTTCCATCTGGAAAGACCGCCAACTTCTGGACGGCCGCTCTTGAGCGCCTGGGCCCGCTTACACCCTCCCCTCCCCCACGGCACCCGCATTTAGGGCTTCGGAGGAGACAGAGCGCAGCGAGCCGTTGCCTAGACGACGAGCCCAGGCCAGGCCGCCCCCTTCCGGCCTAAGCCCCGCCCTGGGCGTGGCCACGTGGGGGCGCTGCCGTCTTTGTCCTGCGCGGGCCGCCGGCCAGTTCGGCGGGCTTTCGGTCCTGCGGTGCCCTTCGCCTTCCTCCTTCTCCAGGGTCTGCCCTCGGGAGAGGTCCCCGGTCTGTGTCCTCCAAGCCTGCTCGGCAGCGGGCTTCGTCGGAAGTCAGCCGCGGACTCTGCCCCAGCGTGGATGTGCCCGAGTGTCGCTGCAGCCCGGGCCGGCCCCATCTTCCGTGTCCTCTTCGTGATGGACAGGGTCGGTTCCAGCTGGGAGCTCCGGGATGACTCCTGGTGCAGAGCGAGGCACAGACACGATTGCAGTTTCAGCAGGCGCTGTGCCACCTCAGAAGTCATCTACAGTTCTCTTTAAGTATCCTGTGCAGTCCTGTGACATGTGTAAAATCCATGACAGTGCATTAGCCACGGGGGTGCGCACTGCTGCGAGCCGCGGGGTGTTTTGTGCTGGGGCTGTCGGTGCTGCCTAACGGACTATAACGTGAGCCAAGTTCGAAGCCGGATCCTTCACGTTGGAGCTCGACCGCAGTGTTGTCGGACAAACACTGCTTACGCTTCCAAGTACGTAGGTTTGATGTTGTTTCTCGAACCCCCTGGCTCACCACCGCACAGCAGAGGAACAGAGGAACGTTCACCTTGCTGTTTGACGCATTGGTTGTTATTTTACCAATTCACATTTCTTACAGTTTTTGCCCAAGAGAGAGCAAATGAAAATTAGTACAGTTTGGGGCTGGGGATTTAGCTCAGTGGCATAAGCACCTGCCTTGCAAGCAGGCGGTCGTGAGTTCGATCCCCGATACCGATAAAAAAAAAAAGAAAAGAAAATTAGTACAGTTTCATTTTATTGCTACAAGAAAATTTATTGGTCACCAGGCTGCACAAAACACTGCGACATATGGAAACAAAAACATGAAGTATATAGAGAGGTACACGATTGTATAAAAATATCAATCCTTTTCCCCCAAGAGCATCTAAGTAATTTAAAAGTACAACAGTAAGAGATCCTTTTATTTCTAACATTCATTGGCCCAAGAGTGAACAGCGTTTATCTGGGCTCAAGAACAAATGTTAGAGATTATTTACTCCTTCCAGTAAATAAGCTGGAGTTTGCCCTGTGTTCACTTAAAAAAGTCTCGATGCTGTCTGATAGTTATTTCTTCTTTCTCTTGTTCAGGGACCTCACATACCTACACCAAAAAGGTGTCTCACTCCCTCAGGTATAGATGCCTGAGTGCGGGCAGGCCTCCCTGTGTGCTGCTGAGCCACCCTCACACGTGCTGGAAACAGTGGCAAATAAACGGTTGCCTTCATGGATCTCGTAGAATATTCCACCCCTTAGGCCAAAAAGTCAGAAGTGTTTTATTTTTTATTGGCCTTACAAAGCAAGTTTCTGCCTAAACTTAGAAGATGAGTATGTCTTTTTAAATATGGGTAATAAATTAAAATTTTGATTCAAGCCTGCTCTTTATAGTGTACTGCAAATATAAATGTTAAAGCTTTTTGCTAAATAACATTTGGGACTGGGGGGTGGCTTGGCTTGCTGGTAGGACTTGTTTCTAGCATGTAGCTGGCCCTGGGTTCAGTCCCTAGCACCAGTCAATCAGTCTAAAAAATGTTTCTGGTTTAACTAGAGATGCTCAAACCTATTGGAATAAATCACAAGGGAGGAACACACAATTCTTTTTTTTTTTTTTTTTGGTACCAGGGATCAAACTCAGGACCGTGGGCTTACAAGGCAGGCACTTACGCCACTGAGCTAAACCCCAGTCCCTGGAACACACAATTCTTTGTTTTGAGGTGCTTAAAGAAATAAATAGCTTCACCTGAAACTGGAACTGCTTCAACATTATGTTGCTGTAATTTGTTCTGCTTTGGATTGACATGGTTTTGCCTCAGAAGAAAATATCCTAAAAACGACATTTTGTCATTAAAGACTAAAAATGGCACTTCTGATATCTTTAGGATTGTTATGTCTGTCTTGTGGCCTACATTAGTGAGAAAGATGATTTTATTTTTTCTTAATGGTGGCATAGTCCACATTTATTAAAGGTAGGATAAAAAGGAACAGAGGGTAGGAGAAAAAAATTAGGCTTTGCAGCATGAGCTTGGGCCAAATAAAACTAAGAGGAAGGGAGAAAAAAGTAAAAGTAGACCCCTCAGCATAGGGTAGACCACTGTGAAGAAAGGACTCTACAGGAACAGGGTTCTCATTTTAGGTAACTCTCGCTAATCACTTACTTCACCATAACGTGCCATGTGTACACATCAAGGATACCAGAGGATTGTGTTCAAATCACCATTAAATAATGGGTTATGTTCAGCCATGTGTTGCGGATTAAATCACAAGGGAGGAACACACAATTCTTTAAATAATGGGCAAAAGCATTAAGAATATAACATTGCTGCCAGTCGCAGACTGCCTCCAAGACTGATTTTATGAAGACAAAAGATGGCATTGTTAATTTAAAAGTCATGATTTCCTGTGGCCCATGCAATGGCATCAGCTGTCCAGATTCATGTGCAGGATTTGGTTTTCAGTGTCACTGAATCTGTTCTCAAAACTTCTAACTAGCTGTGTCCTTGAGTTCGGCATGCACTCTTAGCCTAGCTTTCTCCATCAGCTATTTTCCCACCTGGACTTTGACCCTGATGTGCAGCAGGTGGACTTCAGGAGGGACAAATTCAGCAACCTTCAGCAAGCTCCCTTCTGATTTTAGTGCAGGATCTAGTGAGACGTTCAAAAGGATTGATGACTTGGAATATTTAGGAAAGAAGCATCCACAACGCGACAGGAACAAGACAGAGCCGCAAAGGCTGCACGCTAACACTCGGGAAATCAGCATTCCCCGGGCAGTTAGTAGTCAGTGTTTGGCGCGGTGGTCTCCCGCCTCGGAAGCGCAGGCTCCAGCGCCGCGGCCTCAGGCATTAGAACGCAGCTCCCATCCTGCTGCAGTCTAGCTTGAAACGGAGCTGGCCTCCAGAGTCTTGAGGAAGAAAGACTTTAGACACGCGAGGAAGACACTTGTTTGCCTCAGTAGCTTGTCTTTCAAATCATCAAACATCCCGAAAACGAACGGAGGAAATGGTTGTTTTGAGGACTGCGAAAGCGAAGATCTGTTTTACAGAATGCCAATAGGAGGGCTTTTGTTGAGACCTTCTGAAAGCAAGTCTCCGAACATTTTTAGTCTCCAGAGACAGAGATGGAATTTTCACTCTTAAAATGAGTCCCAGGCAGACATTTCTTGTTTACCTGCTTCCGGAATGGGTGGTTTCCTTGCGCTGTCCTTCATCAGAAGCCAGTGCTGGGGTTCACAAGGGTTGCCCATGTCGGGGTATGCGATGTTCAGTGTTAGGGTGCAGTGTTGATGCACTATATTGGGGTGCACTATATTGTGAGGCAGACATGCTGTGTGTTGGGGTCCAGTGTTGCCAGGATGCATAGTACAGTGGATGTTGGAGTGCTAAAAAGCAAATATGCTGGGCTCGTTTTGGGATGCAAAGGTGCTGTGTTAGGGCGCAACAAGGTATGTACAGGTTCCCCGGCAGTAGGCAGATCCTGGCAGCGGATACAAGGCTGCCTCTCGCTGCAGCTCCCTGATCCTGACCAGAAATGCCGCTGGGCCCACCCGGGCTCGCACAGTATCCAAGGACGCCGAGCGCGACCGCGACCAGCGCTACTCGGGAGACGCAGCGTCGCGGCCCCGCCTCTTCCTGCAGCCTCGAGGTGGGGCCAAGACCGGGATCCGATGCCGTCCCGGGCGCGGGCTCAGCGGCCTCCTGAGAGCTCTTCCGGTGTGGGCGTGGCCGTAGGGGGGGTGCGGCCCTGTGTGGGCGGGGAGATGGGCCGCGCTGGCCGGCGACATGCTGCGGACGCGCGGGCTCCCGCTGCTCCGGGCCGCGCTGGGGCCTGCGCGGGGTCCCGGGTTGCGGGCGGCGAGCTCGGGGCGCGGGCTAGGCTGGCGGCGGCCGGCGGGCTGTGACACGGGCGTGCGCGTGCACAACAGCCTCACGGGCCGCAAGGATCCTCTGGTAGTGGCCCGCGCCGACGCAGTGTCCTGGTGCGTTGCGGGCCTGGGCGCGCGAGTGCGGCGAGGTCGGCCTCGCCCTGGCCTCACGTGCCCTGTTCCCTTTGTCCCCAGGTACAGCTGCGGCCCCACCGTGTACGATCACGCGCACCTCGGCCACGCCTGGTGAGTCCGGGTTCGCGGGCACATTGCAGTGCTGCTTGAGCCGGCGCCCACCCTCCAGGAGGGAAACTGAGGCAGGCGTGGGCGCAGAGACCAGGGGCCTCCAGCGTGGGCTACTTGCTCCAAGGTACAGGGGCGAAGGAGCCCAATGATCCCTGCTGGCTGCCGTCCTGCCTTAGCTTTCCACCTCTGGACAAGCCACTTTCTGGCCAAGGCCTTGTCTGTTCTGCCATGAGGTGGGTCGTGTAGTGGTGCACACCTGGAATCCCAGCACTTGGGAGGCTGAGACAGGAGGATCCTTGCGAATTCAAGGTCAACCTGGGCAAGACAGTCTCAAAAAAAAAAAAAACAACAAAGTCATGGTCTCAAATCTTTATTGCAGTTACTGGAAATAGTGCTGCTGTAAGGGCTAAACCTTTTTCTCTTCTTTTTGTTTTGGATAAAGATCTTAGTAAATGGTTCAGGCTGGGCTCAAACATAGGATCCTCTTGCCTCAGCCTCCCAGAGCACTGAGGTTATTGGTTTAGGCCACCATACCCGCTGAAGGTTAGCTTTTATTGAAAAGGTAGCTCTCTGCCTACTGCACCAAGGAAACTGGAACCAGGGTAAAACTGGCCCCACCCTGAGGTGCTGTTCCAGTTTGCTTCCTATGTCACATGTCCTATTATGCCTTTTTTTTTTTTTTGTACAGACCTAGACTAAAAGTAAAGTTACATTTTTAAAATTTTTACTTTTTAAAGTATTACATATTACACATGATCTGAACTTTTTTGTATTATGTTGTAAGAAAATGAAATCACTGAAGCATAATTTTTTCCCTTCGCTTTGGGCTAATGTACCGCCAAATGAAAAATTATGTTTTGACATCTGTACTAAAATGTAAAATTCGGTGTGCAAGAATTAAAAGCAGAGTCTCCTTCTCCCACCCCGAAAGCCCCTCCACAGAGGTGGACTCAAAGGAAAGAGGCTGCCAGGCAGAACCTGGCTCTGCACCTCCTGTTGGGTTTCCTGAGCTTGTCCCCATCTCCTGCGCTTTCTGTGACCCATGGTACAGGCAGGGCAGGTGGCTCCTCCCTACAGCCAGGTTCTGACTTCCCTATAGGCTGAGGAGCCGCCACCACCTGAGGGTTCTACCTTCTCTCTACCCCGCTCCCCCACTCCCCTGCTCATGTACAGAAAGATACACTGCCCTGCTTTCTATGATCTGTCTTTTATTTCTGCACTTTAGTTTACTTATACTTTGGGTCTCTGTAGCAACCGCAATGTTTAAGTTTGTTTCTGGTATTTCACTTAACATCGTGGTCTCCGGCAGTAGCATTTTCCTACAGAGGACTGAGTTTACCCTTCTTTATGGCAGAACAGTACTCTACTCTGTGGATTTTGGTGCTGTCACATGGTGGATTGGGGTCTCTTGGGGTGCTTTTATCTGGGCACTGATCTGTTGTGAGTGGTCTGTGCATCTAACCATGTCCCTACAATGGCCTCCTCCTAACTCAGTCCCACAGGAACTGGGGGACACTGTGGTGCTACAAGCATGAGTCGGGTCCATGTACACCTAGGCAGGGCACCAGGAAGAGACCGTGTCTTCTCTGGCTTCATTTTGAACGGATCCCCGTGCCTTGGGTCTCCAGAACTGGAGACTATCGGGGCTTCTTTTAGCCACGTGAGACTTGTACCCCCAGGCACTGAGGTGCAAACCTGGAACCTCAACACTCTGGGAGGCTGAGACAGGAGAATCTCAAGTGTGAGCTCAGCCTTGGAACTTGGTGAGACGCTAATTCAAAATAAAAGCAATCAAAATAGAAAAGGGCTAGGATGCCACTCAGTGCAGACCCTATGGGCTGAATTCACAGCACTGAAAAAAAGTTACATACATGTGAAAGGAAGTGAGGGGAAATTCTAAAGCAGAGGTTTTGGGGGATGTCAGCCTGTATTTGCTTTTTTGTTTTTTTGAGACAGGATTTCATCATGTAATTTAGGCTGGCCTGGAACTCACTGTGAGGCCAGGCTGGCCTCTGATTCATGGTGACCCTCCTGCCTCAGCTCCCAAGCACTGGGCTAATGGGTATGTGCCACCACACCTGACTTTTTTATTTTTCGTTTTTTGTGTTCTAAAATGGCATAGTGTTCTCAGGAGTAATGGGATGCAACTCCGAGAGGACGAGGACACTTGTCCTTACTTGAGTTTATTTGCTTCTACCTGTTTCGTCATAGAGGAAGAATTATTCTAGACCATCAACTAGGGTGGCCACCCAAGGAGCTTGTATTCTGAGTGAAGTTTTACATATTTAATGACAGGTTAAACCATTCAGTAACTCTAAAGCTAAAAACACCATGATGGATCATGCCCTGAAAGCAGTGCCGTAGGAGACTGCGCCAACTGTGAACCTTGAGGCAGCTCGTGGCCACCCTGTGCTCTCTCTGGGTCCCGGAGGTGACTGGTGAGCTGAGATACCCGTGTCCTTTCCTTCCAGCTCTTACGTGAGGTTTGACATCATCCGGAGGCTCCTGACCCGGGTATTCGGGTGCAGCGTGGTCATGGTGATGGGCATCACCGATGTGGATGATAAGATCATCCGAAGAGCCAGCGAGGTGAGCGACGCCCGGTCTGGTCCTGTGTAGCTGCTCTGTCAGGCCCAGGTCTGGGTTTCCCAGGGGCTCAGCGAGCTGGGAGGCTTCCAGGTGACCAGGGCACCCTGCCTCCACCTGCCAGGTGTGTTCCAGAGGGGTGCTTTGGCTGTCAACGGGGAAGTACACACCCGTGTCCCCCAGCTGAGCAGCTCAGGCAGGGCCAAGGGACAGGGGTGCCCATCTGGGCCTAACGGCTAAGGACTTCTGCACATCTGGAGGAACCACAGCCTTGTTGGAGCTGTAGTGTCTCTGGGGAGGAAGGTCACATCTGGGTCAATGGCCCCGGAGTGGCCTGGGTGGGCATCGGGGTGCAGACTATGTGGGTTGGAAACATTTCAGTGGAGAGGGGAGATGTGGGATTCGGGGCTATTTTGCTGTCGTGTCCTCTGCGTACGTGGGAGCGGACAGGCGTTTTTACTGGAAGGCCTGTTTTGCCCCAGAACTGGAACCCAGGTGCCACCTGCCTGGTGCTGAGTGCTGTGTCTGGGCCTTTACCAGGGACACTGGTGAGTTTTCGGGCTTCTGTGCACTCACCATGCATCCCCAGTGACTGCAGGGCCAGTAGGTAGACAGTTCCCCTGAGGGAGCCTGCCGGCCATTGACCACATCTCTCCTGCAGATGGACATGTCGCCTGCTGCCCTGGCCAGGCTGTACGAGGAAGACTTCAGGCAGGACATGGCGGCCCTGAAGGTAGGTTCAGTGGGCTTTGGCTGCGTGGCCTTGGACACCTGGCCTTGCAGGGGTTCCAGGCTGGCTCAGTGCCACTGGCCAGGGCCTCACTGCTGGAGGAGGGGTGCGTCCTGGTTTGACTTGTGCTGGTGCCCGAGTGGCAGAAGACCCCTGGCTCCAGCTGGTGATCCTGTGCCCGCTACCATTGCCAGGCACCTGAGAGTACAGCCCCGCCCCACCCTGCTCCTGCAGGTGCTCCCACCCACTGTGGCCCTGAGAGTGACGGAGACCATTCCTCAGATTCTCGCCTTTATCCAGGGCATCGTGGCTCGTGGTCACGCATACGCCACTGCAGAAGGTACTGGCCCATTCGGGCAGCACTGCTGGCTGGGAGGTGTTGAGAGGTGCTGCTCCCAACCGACAGCCTCCAGGTCACTCCCCAGTGACATGCTGGGGTGCACGCAATACCATCCTTCTCAGTAGAGCTATCCCCAGCTATCTGGCTATGAGACTGAGGCTCCCTGGGGCAGAAGCATGGGCTGTGCCCCCGTCCCTGCACTGTAGGGAAACGGATGTCAGCATCCCCAAAGTCCGTTGCCCTTGATGTTGCCCTGAGAGTCCCATGTGTCATCAGACCTGTGACCAGTCCTCCCCTAGTGGCAGCAGCCCTGCTCTGCGGTGGCCACTGCTTCCCTGTTGTGGAGCCAAGACCTTGTGGCTCTGGCCTTTGCACCCGCCCTGTCTCACCACACCTCCCTCCTGGACATCTCCCCCTAGCCACCTGCTGCACCTCCCGACTCCTGACCCAGCGCTTCCCCTGAGGGGTCCTTGGTTTTGGGCTTCTCTCTGTCTGCTCTGGGCACCCCCTCACCACCCCTTCCCAGGCAGCCTCCTGTGCCGCCCCCTCCGCAGAGTCCATGTCTCTATAGGTTTCTGTGTGCTGCCCACAGCTGGGTGCACTGCTTCAGTCTCTGCAACTGCATGCACTGAGCAGCTGTGCTTTACTGTTTACAGAAGTCAGCTTCCCCCATCCAGATGGTAAATTTTCAGACCAGAAAAACCTTTGGCCTTTTAGCCATGCATGGTAGCTAACCTAATCCCAGCACTCAGGAGGCTGAAGCAGGAAGATCGCACTGGGCCAGCCTGAGCCACACAGTGAATTCAAGGCCTGAACTGCATAGCTGATCCTGTCTCAAAAAACAAAAACAAACAAAAAACAAGACTCCCTGTTCTGATTTCACATACCACAGGGCACCCAGCCCAGGCCCAAGCCAGGCAGGTCCTGCGGAGGTGCTTGCTGTGCCGACATGGGTGTGTTGGGCTTTGGCCTACTCTAGAGTTCTTACCTGACCGTTTGGTGTGCCTGGGGCTCAGCTCCCAGAAAACTGTTTCTGGTGCTGAGGTTTGAGCCCAGGGCCTTTGCAATGGGCCATGTCCCCTACCCTTAGTTTCCTGAGACAAGGTCACTGCATTGCTAAGTTTCCCAGGCTGGCATGGAACTTGTGATCTTCCTGCCTCAGCCTCCCAGAGTGCTGGGGTAACAGACAAGTGTCACCATGCCCGGCTCCCAAACCTTTTGCAAGGGCTTAGATGTCAGGGCAGGACCTCACTCCAGAGAGCATGCAAGGTCCCGAGGCCTGCACTAGATGTGGCAGGGTCACAGCCCATTCCCCGGAGGAGTAAATGCTGTCTGAACCCTTGTCCTCCCGTGTCACTGTAAACTTTTAATGGCAGCAGAACCATTGGAGAACCTAAGGTGCTCCAACCCTTGAAATCATGGAGAGCCTTCTGCCTCGGCCTCCCAGCCTCCCCTGCCTTGCCTGGATGAGAGGCCTGGTTTGTATATGTGAGCTATGATCCCTTGCTGGCTACTAAGCCTCACTGGCTCCAGACACAGCGCCTTCACAGCTGTCTCCGGAACAGGTAACGTCTACTTTGACCTGAGGTCAAGAGGAGACAAGTATGGCAAACTTGTCGATGTGACGCCCTGTCCGGCTGCAGAGGCAGGTAGGAGCCAACACTTGAGGTGGCCCCAGGACCCCGGGAGCCCTGCCCTTTGAGGGGGCACACTTTCCTGACCGGGAACACCTCCACATGTCCTGACTGATTCCTGCTGTGCTAGTGAGAGTTACTGCAGTTCTGTGTCCTCGCCGCAGGACTCTGGTCCTCCTGACCTGGCTCACATGGGGAGGAGCTCCCAAGTTCCTCGGGAGGAAGAGCAGGTGTCTGGGGCATCGCCCGTGTCCCTGCTAGTGAGCCTTTGCTGTTGCAGTGGACTCGGACAAGCGGTACTCAGGTGACTTTGCGCTGTGGAAGGCGGCTAAGCCCGGGGAGGTGTCCTGGGCCTCACCCTGGGGACTCGGCAGGCCCGGCTGGCACATCGAGTGCTCCACGATTGCCAGGTAAGCCTGGGAGCTTTTCCATCCCAGCTCAGAGCCCAGGTTCATGGACCTGCTCTGCATGGTGACACAGGGAGGCCCTGAGGACCCTCCCATGTGGACACGGCAGGGGTGGCCACTGGCAGCATGGCCTCGCCCAGAGTCTGCTTTATACTTGCCCAGGACCCCTGCCCCTCAGAGGCAGAGTCAGAAAATACTGCGACGTTCAGACTAAAACCTTTATTACAGAAAGAGATGCTTTGCACCACATGCCCTCAAAGTCACTGTGGCGCACAATTGTCCCATGGTCCTTGCCACTTCCTGCAGTGGCTCTGGAATCCTCTTTCTGGAGGATCTTTACCTGGTCATCCTTTGTGGTCATGAGTTTGGGGGGAGCCAGGAGTTGCACAGTGTCAGATCCGTGATGAGGTGGATGCGGATGAGCTGCTCGGGAGCAGCAGTAGTCGCTATATTTTGGATCACACCCCATAGAGACACTCAGGAGAGAGGACTCCAGAGCTGCTGCAGAAGTGGCAGGAGCAGGGGGACGTGTGTGGTCAGCCGGCACTTGGGGCCCTGCTTCTTTTACCATGACGAATGCTGTACTTGAGCATCCACCCTGTGTGTGATTGTCCCTCCTGCCATGGCCGGGCTCCAGGGACTCTGGTGCAGCTGTGGCCAAGCCTCTGACACCCTCGGAGGCCCAAATGCCCCAAATGGCCTGCTCTGCTCCCATCCTGAGTGCTGTCCCCGCATGCTCTAGGTGGCATCACTGTGTATCTGGGCCCTGGTGACAGTGCCTATGTCTGTGTCCCACAGCACAGTATTCGGGAGCCACCTGGATGTGCACTCGGGCGGCATGGACCTTGCCTTCCCACACCACGAGAATGAGATTGCGCAGTGTGAGGTCTTCCACCAGTGCGCACAGTGGGGCAACTACTTCCTGCACTCGGGTGAGCGGGTGGCAGGGGCAATGCCCTCACGGGTCCATGGCCCTTGGTTCAGCTTCGGGCTCAGGTGGCTGTACTGGGGGCTCAGGTGGCAGGATGTCTGTCCAGGGCTTGGGGACGGCAGCCCCTGGCTGGGAAAGGTGACCCTACCACTTCCCCAGCACTTCCCCAGTGCTGTTCTGCAGACAGTGGGAGTTGGAATGAGTGAGTAGGAAGACCCACTGCCGAGTGGCAGCCCTGTTCCCAGACTTCCCGTCACCCTGCTCTCACCCTGCAGCTGGGGTCACTGTGCCCAAGGCAATGCTGGCGACTCACTGAGCCCCGGCCCTTAGGAGCAGTGCAGCTCATGACGCAGGTCCTGCTTTGCCAGGTGTGGTATGCATGCCTGCAATCTCAGCACTCTGGAGGCTGAGGCAGGAGTATCACTGAGTTTGAGGCCAGCCTGGAGGGAGTTCAAGAACAGCCTGGAGGGCCAGGGATGTAGCTCAGTAGCACAGCACCTGTCTGGCAAGTGCAAGGTCCTGAGTTTGATTCCCTGTATAGGGAGGGGAGAAAAAAAACTAGCCTGGAACACAGAGACCCTGTCTCAAAAAATAGAGACAAAGCCCCATTTAGAGTGTGGCATTTGGGACCCACTCTAATGCCCAGGAGTTTCAGCTCAGCCCTCCCTGAGCCCCACAGCACCTGTGTCCACACAGCCCCCTCCCCCCCCGCGATGTCCCTTGCGTGGCCATGTTGTCTGTGCCCCCTGGAGGGGCCGGTCAGCTTTCTCTTTCTCTGTGCACCTTGGTGATGCTGGAAGTCGGGCCAGTGGGTCCCTTGGGGACCTTCTGAGAACACGCAGGGCCATCTGGTGGCCGTTCAGTGGCTGTTCTCCGAGGGGCACCACGTGTAGTTCGTCTTCCAGGACTTTTGAGACCTTTGCAGCAGGCCAGTACGGGTGCTGCTGGCCTTTTAGCCCCGATGAGCTGCCAGGATCAAGGGAAAGGTTGCCCAGGTGCTTTGTGGCAGTGGCCATGCCACCTGCCAGCAGTCTCAGGGCATGATCCTGGCTTGACCTGTGGTGGGAACACTGCAGTGCCCCCGGGGAGGGGACAGAGCTATGGAGGCTTGAGGAGCAGGAAATGTGGCCATGTCTTCTGCCTCAGTGCCCCTGTGTGTCACTGGTGTGAGCTGACATCACAGACCCTGCTGTCGCCATAGCTCACGCTGTGGTGCAGGCTGGTCAGCGGGCAGTGGGCAGCGGACAGCATCCTCTTCCCCAGCCGGCTCAGGCACGTGGGTCATTGCAGGGCACCTGCACGTCAAGGGCCAGGAGGAGAAGATGTCAAAGTCCCTGAAGAACTACATCACCATCAAGGTACCACATAGCACCGCCCCTTCCCTGTGGCCCTCCTCCTGGTAAGGTCACCTCGCTACTCATGGCCCACAGCAGTCCCTCTTCAGGGTCTCTCCATGCCTGCATAGGCTTTCTTGGTGGGCGTGGCCATTCACACCTCCCTCCCAGTGTCCTGTCTCTCTGTCCCTGTCTCTGTCTCAGTCTCTTTCTCCCCTTTTTTGTTTATTTTGAGACAGGGTCTTACCATGCAGTGCAGGCTGGTCTGAAATTTGCAGCAGTCCTCCTGCCTCAGCCTCCCAAGTGCTGGTATGACAGTTTGCTACCACACCCAACTCCTCTTTAAAAGTTTTTTGAGGCAGGGTCTCACTTCTTAGCCCAGAACTTGTCATGGTCCTCCTGCCTCAGCCTCCTTAAGTGCTGGCCACCATGCCTGGTTTTTGGGGCAGCTTTGTGTGTGATGAACATGGCTAACAGCTGGTTCTGCCATCAGCCCTGACAACTTTTTAGGGACAGCTCACTCCTGTCTCCTCCCTCCCTGTGTGCAGCACTGGCCTGGTGGCAGGTAATAAAGTCACCTGGTCCCTGACCACTGGGCAGCTGGGTGCCCATCCCCATCGTGTCCCGGCCCCCTGGGCTCCCTAGAGCCCAGCTGGTGGGACCTCAGGTGGTAGGTGATGGTGACAGCGGAGATGAATCCAGGACCTCTGCCTCTTCTGTGCTGTGCCACTCGTCACGTCAGAGCTGCGGCCTGGGGACCCCAGTGACCCGAACACTGCCTTCTTCCAGGACTTCCTAGGGAGCTTCTCACCCGATGTCTTCCGGTTCTTCTGCCTGCGCAGCAGCTACCGCTCAGGTAAGCAGAGTCACCTTGGTATTCATGCTTCATGGCGCAGGGGGGTGTGGAGGAGCATGGCTGTCACCCTGGAACTCAGTGGGCTGAGGCAGGAGGATTGCAGGGAGCTCAGGGCTGGCCTGGGCCACATAGTGAGTTCAGGGCCAGCCCAGGTGACACACCGAGAGCCGTCTCTGTCTCTCACCATCCCTAATGGCTTGGGAAGCACAGGCCTCGAGGATAGCAGGACGCAGGCCCACAGCGAGCTTTGTCCTGGCAGTGGCCGCTAGAAGTACGCATCTCCCTCAGAGTCTGCGAGAGTCTAGGGCTCCCTGTTCTGGTTGGGGCCCTTGAGTCCCGCCAGCCTCTGTGGTCAGTGGCCACTACTTCCTCCCCAGCCATCGACTATAGTGAGGGTGCCATGCTGGAAGCCGGCCATGCCCTGCGTGGTCTGGCCTCGTTTGTGGAGGACGCGCGGGCCTACATGCAGGGGCAGCTGGCAGGTGGCCCGGTCAGCGAAGCTGAGCTGTGGGACAGGTAAGTAGTGAGCCAGGGCAGAAAGCCTGGCGCGGACCCGGAGGGGTTAGGGAACTGCAGATCTCAGAGGGCTGGGCGTGGTGCATGCCCATCATCCTAGCCAGCACCCTGAAGCTGAGGCAGGCAGCCAGTTTTGAGCCCAGCCTGAGAACTCACTGAACCGGGGTCGAGTTCAATCCTTGGTTCTGCAAAACGAGGTGGGGCCCTGGGCTCAGGTCTCAGGGCTGGGAGTGGACACTGTCAGGTGCCCAGCTCCCAGGGATCAGGGTAAGGGCCTGGTCCCCAATTATCCCCAGTCTGGCAGTCCAGTCCACGAGGACTGCGTGGAGGCCAGGAGCAGCACTCTAGTGAGCATCTCCGGCAGAGTGCATCACTGGGCTGGAAGCACCAGGTGCTGGGGTCTGGCTGGTGACAGGGACAGGGCAGGACCCTGAGCAGGAGTGATGCCTGCAGGGTGTGGAGAGGTAGGGACTTCAGGCTCTCCGGAGGGCAGACAGGGAGGACCACAGGCAAGGACACCTGAGTGCTGCTGCTTGTGGGCTGCAGGGACTGAGGCCCAAGGGTGTCTTGGGCTCTGCAGCAGGAGCTCGGCCCAGTCCCCCCTGCTCACCTTGGCCCTGACCCAGCGGCCATTCTCAGCTGTTGAGCACGTGGCTGGAAGGTCCCACGGAGCCCCACCAGCCCTGAGCTGTGACGGCTGCCTCTGGGCACCCCCTGCCCCTGCTGCGAGTCCCCCATGCAGCTGTGTTTGTCCTCACAGTCCAGGGGACTCATTTCCGGACTCAGAGTGGGAGAGCCCACGTGCCTGAGCCCTACTTCCCCACTGGGCTGCTGTCCTGTCCCACTGGGCCCCCACACATGGGGTGTAAGTGCTTGGTGACATCACCCAGGCTAAGTTCACTCGCTGTAGAGCTTTCGGGCCAGCTGAGAATCAAGTACACACAGCCAGGTGCAGATGCAGGGCGGTTACTTCACTTTTTTTAATCAACGGTGAGCTGGGTGTGGTGGCATACACCTGTTATCCCAGCAGTCGGGAGACAGGCAGGAAGATCATCGTGTGTGCAAGGACAGGCTGGGCTACACAGAGGCCCTGCCTGAAAAAAGGGGCAGGAGTCTTACAGTGCCTGCCTGGCAAGCTCAAGGTCCTGAATTTGACTTTCATAACAAAAAGGAAGGGGTTGGGCTGGAGATGCAGCTCAGCAGCCTAGCACCTGCCTGGCAAGTGTGAGGGTATAAGTTTTGATCCCGGGTACCAAAAAAGCAGGGGGTCTTACTGTCACCCAGACTGGCTTCAAATGTGCCATCCTCCTCCCTTGCTGGGATGGCAGGTGTGTGCTGCCTCGCCCAGCTTCAGTGTCAGTTTGGAGCTGGTGTTGCCAGCGAGGTCATGCAGTCTAAACGTGACCTCAGTGGCCGTGTGAGGCCCAGATCGCCCTTCCCATAGGAGTCGGCCGGGCACTGGTGAGAAGACTCTGTCCACATTGCTCACTGCCTGTGGTTTTTCTCAGGCTCAGCAGTACCCAGGGCACTGTGAGGACTGCGCTGGCTGATGACTTTGACACGCCCAGGGCAGTGGACGCCATCCTGGGCCTTGTGCGCCAGGGAAACAGGCAGCTCAGGGTGGCCACTGAGGTAAACTTGGGGGTCTGGGTGGCCTCCCAGGCCTCTTTCTTGGCTGTCTGTGCCAGAGGACACACGTCACTCAGGCGGGTCTGCAGGTCCTACGTAGACAGCGTGTCACCAGGATGGGTCCCCAGCTTCCCATGATGGAGACAATGCATAACTCAAGCTGTAGGAGGGCAATTCAGGGGATTCAGTCCATGGTTCTCTGCTCAAGGCAGCAACATGGCGAAAGGGCATGGGGAGCAAAGCTGCTCAGTTCACGGTGGATAAGAGGCAGAGCAGTAGGACAATGCCTGAGAGGAAGGGGCAGGGGCCACCCAGACACCCCCACCAGCAGACCTAGCTCTCAAGCACAGTTTTCAGTGACAACAGTTGCGCTGTCTGCTCTGCTCATGATGCCTCCTTAGAGGGAAGCCTAGAAGTGGGCACCTGGGAGTCCATGCTGGTGTCCACAGCTGTGTCCCTGAGCACCCAGGGTCAGCGCAGAGCCCCTGGTGACCAGGAGGCCACGGATGTGAACAGCAGCTCCTGACCCTGCACAACCTCGGAGGCTCTCCCTGCCACACACTGGGTGACCAGAGCTGGTCCTTGCCCTTGAGAACCCACATCTGGGAGCCCTGTGACCATCCAGGACCAGAGGGCCGAGGACTGTGGATACCACTGAGCCCATCTCCCTGCGTCTTGGGCCTCAGAAACACGGACCCTGGCCAGGCCTTCCCTGCCTCAGTGTGGTACCACCTAGAGGCCTCCATGGGGCCTGCTGGGTTTTGGGGTGCAGGGCATAGACCCAGCTGTGCTGCTCAGGTGAGGCCAGGAGGTAGTGTCAGGACAAGTGTCTGGGGCTCTGTCAGAGCTGGCAGGGTCTGAGTGCCTGACAGCATAAAGGCCTGGTCTGCAGCCTGGGGACCACAGGGCACGGCCCACTGGGTCTCTGAGGGTCACTGTATTTGAGGGCCCGAGTGGAAGTGGCTGGTGCCAGGCCCGGAGCTGACCAACAGGGCATGTGGGCCCAGCCCACAGCTGGGCGCCCTGAGGCCTCCCTGGCCCGCAGCCTTCTCTGCCAGGCCTGCAGCTCCAGACCCAGAAGGGCCAGAGGGTCCTTGTTGGGGGAGTCTGGGCGGGTGGTTAGGGAGAAGGAGCCTCAGCCACTGCAGGGGCGTGGGGGCAGAGCCCTGCCTCTAGGGCCCCTTTGTCCCACTGAGGAGCAGGCCCTGTGCCCTTGCGGCTGCTGATGTGGCCTTACTGCCAAGGCCAGGTATGCCCTCAGGAGCCTGGTAATGAGGTGGCACCCACACCCCACGTGAACGATGGGTAAGCCGAGGCAGGGCTGCCCAAAACACCCTCACTGTACCGCTGCTGAGGCTGGCATGTGTCCTCAGTGCACAGCAATTGTGTGGCCCTGAGCAGACCACTGGCACCTGTGCCTTGATGTATAGAACCTCTGTTTTTTAAGGCAGTTCAGCCAGACCTTGAACTATGTAGCCGAGGCGGGCCTCGAACTCGCAATGATCCTCCGGCCTCAGCCTCCTGAGTGCTGGGATTATAGGTGTGTACCACCATGCCTGGCTTACCCCCTTGTTTCTTACAGGGCCCTGGGGGTCCCAGGAGCCCTGCTGTGCTGGGTGCCATCATTGCCTATGTGGAGCAGTTCTTCGAGACTGTGGGGATCTCTCTGGCCAGCCAGCAGGTCAGTCCTCTTTACGTCATCCTCTGGGGTCCACTGCAGATGGCCGCTTAGCTGTTCCCTTCTCCATGCCTGTCTGAGAGGCACAGCACCCCACACTTTCCTGGAGCAGCTGACATTGTTGCTGTCCCAGAAAACAAAAGCACTTGAACCCCCGGCCCCGGCCCCGGCTCCGTGAGGTGTCCCAGTATGGCTTTGCCATCATGGTTCCCACAAGGCCCTCACATGCCGCAGTCACCTGGTGAGGCTGCTGTGCCACCATCATGCCCCGTGCGGGCCAGAAGCTGCCATCTCTAGCAGCTGGGCTGGGCTTCCCGCACTCTGGTTGAGCCCTCAGGTGGGGCCAGCTTGTGGCCGTGTCCCAGGGGAGGGCTGCACACCTCAAGCTGGCAGTGTGGGTCTCACAGGGCACAAAGCTGGGCTGTGGAACCCTGCTGCATGCACACGTGGATAAAAGATGCACATTTATATAGAAGCCCGTCCCTCCAGCCACCTGCCCTGCTGAAACCCAGGGCTTAGCCCCAGCCCCCTGGGAATCTCATCCCTGCCCTCTGCCTCCCACCCTGGCCACTGGGGCCTAGCCCTGGGCCATTGCCCTATGTGGGGTCCCCACTTCTTCCCTCCCTTCTTGCCTGCCTCTGCTGCTGACAGGCTACACCAAGATACTACACGGCCTCCCTGCGGCAACCAGGAAATCCCAGGCTGTGATGGGCAGTGCCCGGCCGGGAGCCTCGACATCCACCCTGAGTTCCTCCAGGGTTTCAGTCAACCCGGACTGAAACAGAGCTGCCAGCTGTGGGGGCTCTGCTGGCACAGTACCCAAGCCAGCAGCCTCTGGCCAATGCCACGCAGGGCCTGGGTCCAGGCTGCTCTCCCTGCCAGGGCCCAGCCCCTGTGAACGCTGTCCCAGGGCTACTCCACGCCTGGGTCTCTGAACCCACACGACAGACAGGGCTTCTTGCAGGCAGCATGGAGGCGCTGGCGGTGCCATGAGCCTGAGATGCCTGGTACTGTCTGGATGCCTCGTGCACTGTGGCTTCCAGCCACGGCTGAGGGCAGTGAAGTGGCTGTGAAGTGGCTGTGCTGGGCCTGGCCTGGCCCAGTCCCAGTCCCGGTCAGCAGCAGCAGAGTGTTCCCTCCTGGGCTCAGGTCAGCAACAGAACTCTGCTTTTGTGGTAAAAGTAGAGCGAGGATTGCAGGAGGGCGAAGCAGCTAGAGCCCTAAGTAGAGAATGCTGTGCACGGTCACTTGGTCACTGAGGAGGAGGCGCTGGATGGCACAGGGCTCTGAGCCGGCAGGGTGGAGGATTCTGCCGAAGCCGGGTCCCCTCAGGGCTGGGTTTGCTTGGCCGCTCCCAGGTGACCAGTACGTGCCCTAACCTCGCATCTCAGTTCCAGCTCCATGGAGCAGAGCTGCCCGTGTTGGTCCCAGGGTTCCAGGCCTCAGCAGGCCTGCACCATGGGAGTACAGAGAGGGTGTTACGTGGGATTCGAAGCCAGGCCACTGCATCCCTGCCAGGTCCCTGAAAGCACCAGCTCTGAGGGGCAGAAAGACAGGCTAGGGGTCACAGCCTGGTGCAGTGTGTTTCAGGAGACAGCAGTGAGGCCGCCCTGCGCAGCGTGGTGGATGAGCTGGTGCGCTTCCGGCTGAAGGTGCGGCAGTTTGCGCTGGACACACAGGCGGCCAGCAGGGATGCCCAGCAACAGCAGCTGCGGGACAGGCAGCCCTTGCTGGATGCATGTGACGCACTTCGCCAGGACCTTGCTGCCCACGGTATCAGCATCAAGGTGAGTGCTGCCACCCAGACACCCGGGCATAGTCACACAGGCTCCTGCCTGAGGTGTCACCCTGCCTGTGACATTTGTCCCAAGAGCAGCCACCATGGCAGGCACAGGGTGAGGAGAGGCTGTTGGCTGCCTGGATCACCAAGGCGTGGGTCTGCCTGCCACCTCCTGCTCCACTGCTGGCCATGCCCACTGCCCCTGCAGCAAGGTGACATGACCCTCTCTTCATTTCTCCAGGACAGAAGTATCACAGCCTCTACCTGGGAAATGCTGGACCCATGGACGACACAGAAGCCAGGAGGCTGAGAACCAGCCAGCTGGATGTGACACCATGGCTCTGCTCCCCACTGGGATTTGGTATTCAAGTTTCCCATCGAGGCTCTTTGGTCCACGTCAAAATAAAGCTGACCCGTCCTGTCCTGAGGTGTCTGCTGTCACTCTGCCACATTCAAGGGACGGCAAGACCAGTGGCCAGCGCGTTCAGTAGAACCCTGCTGGCTGCTTGGTGGACCCAAGCCAGCCACATCCTGGGCACATGTGAGCCAAAGGCCCTGTGTCCTAGTGCCACACTCTGCTGAAGGTGACCAGGGGACTCTATCAGCTGGACATGTAGAGCCACTGAGGTCTGAAGCCTGGGAGCCTGAGCTGAGGAGGGGCTGCAGTGCCACATGGGGCCCTCGTGTTCCTGTTACAAGCATTGAGGGGCAGTGCATGACAGGTGCACAGAGATTGGTTCTGTGGTTGAGGATGGGGTGCTGTGTGGCAGCTGCAGCTGGCACAGGGCGTAGCAGCCCTGCACCTGGCCTGGCATCTCTGATGATTGAGCAGGGGACTGTGACCTCCGTCCCAGGTGTCAGGCCAGGTCTGGCCTGTGACCCCTGGGGTTCATGCCAGTGGTCCCCACAGCCCCGTGTGCTTATTGCTGGTCAGTCCATAGCCACAGCTGCTGCACTGCCCTGGAGCCAGCATGCTGGGCCAGGTCTCCAGGCACCAAGTGGTATGAGGCTCCCTGAAACTGCAGGAATCAGGGCCAGATCCTGGGGACAGTGGGGATGGGGACATGCTCTTCTGTCCAGCCCACCAACATCTTGACCTGTGACAGCAGCACCGTGGAAGGGCAGGGCAGGGCAGCACGGCCAGCTTCCTGGGACCTGACCTGTCCCAGTGACAGCACTAACCTGGCCACAGGTCAGGGTGCAGGCTCAGGGTGCTACCTGCCAAGGGCCAGGAGGTCCAGGGGGGCCAGTGCTGCTCTCCACCTTGCTCCCACGCCCAGGGCGCCTGCACATGTAACTGCATCTGAAGAAGTACCACCAACTATGCTGCCATGGCCTTGAGTGAAAGAACAGCAATGACTCGGAATAGAAGAAACAGGACCACCGCTTGTGACCACCGACTTCATTTCCCGGGGAGGAAGGGGCTCTCCAGGCTGCCCTTTAAATGAGCGCATGGCAATACTGGTCACTAAAGAGGGACAGTGGCCAGACGGCTGGGAGCCTCTCACATGGGGCACAGGGCAGCTTGGAGGCCATGTCACACATGTGGTGAGCAACTATGTGCAGGCTGGCCCACGGCAGTTTAGGCAGGACGGGCCACAGCTCCTAGGCCCAGTGGCAGCTTCATGGTGAGCTTCACAGCTGTGGGAGAACTGGTGCAGTGCCTGGCTCCCAGGTCCTGGGGCAGCGGCCAAAGGGTAAGGGACCTCCACCAGCACTGTCCCCCTGTACAGCAGCCCAGGGACTGACACTGCTGTGCTGATGGCCTCCTGTGAGGCGGTGCTGGCTGCCGTGAGCCGTGACAGGCTGCCGTGGCACGTGGACAGGATGGGGCCTCCCCCTGTGGTCTGTGCCCCCACCTCATCCCCCAGGAGCCTCCTAGGGTGCATGTTCCACCTCTCCTCTGGGGACCTCAGTCACAAACCAATGGCCGGACTGCCAGCTCAGGCCTCGAAGAGCTCCCGGAAGGCAGCCCCGACCTCGGCAATCATGTCACTGGTGGTCATGGAGCGGCCGTGCTTCTGGAAAGCCTGACGGTTGCACTGACGCGTGAGCGAGCATGCACCCAGGGCAGCCAGCAGCAGCGGACGGGAGCTGGAAGGAGAGCAAAGGCCGGTGCTGGACAGTGGGCCCAGGGCTACCCGACTGCCCCACACAGCTGATCTGGGGTGGGTTTTTTTTTGCTGTTTTTGTTCAAGTCAGGCAAGATCTTACTATGTAGCCCGGGTTGCCCTCAAACCTACATGATCCTCCTGCTCAGCCTCCCCAATGCCAGAATCACAGGCGGGCAACCCCTGCCCTGTACACTTCCCACACCCTGACCATGTCTGGAGGACTTGGTGCCTGAGCTACCAAGAGCTGCAGCCATACCCATTTGTCTTCTCAGCTCCAGCGAGGAAGGCCCAGTGTGCCATGACACCCAGGGCGCCCGCCAGCAGGTCCCCTTGTCCCCCGCACCTGCGGCCGCTGCCTTCAAGGCTGCACTCGAGCACTGTGGAGCACACGGAGGAGTTGGTGCAGTGCTCTTGGGGGCTGCCGGACCCTGGCTGGGACACCTGATGGCAAGCAGGGCAGCGTGGGAGCTGTGTGTAGAGCCTGTGATGAGGACCTGTCTGTCTCCAGGGTGCTGGGCTCCTCAGCACACCCGTGTGTGTGTGTGTGTGTGTGTGTGTGTGTGTGTGTGGCACACCCACGTGTGTGTGTGTGCGTGGTGTGTGTGTTGCACATGTACTATGGCCCTCATCTCCAAGCCCTTGTCAGCTCCTTGCATGAGACTCCTGAGGTCAGCGAGGTGCAGCAGAGGTCTTCACCCTTGGAGCTTGGAGTGTGGCCTGTGGGGACAATGTGGCCCTGACCCCTGCCCATTCCCGAGGACCAGCTGCAGCCAGGGTGAGGCCCAGCTCATCTCCCTCTGCCACCTGCCCGTGTCCCACAGCTGTTGGCTGGGAGGGCCCCTCATGTCCTGGTCTTTGTGTGACTAAGTAAGAGGGCTGGGAAAGGGAGGGCAGGCTGGGAACGCTGGCCGTGGCTGCAGCCCATGTCATGTCTACACTCATGGACCCAGCTCTGGTTACGACTCGAAGCCCAGGACCACCCTGTCACCTGCTCACCCTGCTGGCCGTCAGAGATGAGGTCGTGTTCCCCTTTCAGGACCATGGTCACGTTCCCTAGGGCCCGGCTGAGCCTCAGGACAGATCCATGTGTGTCAGCAATGTCCACAGGGCCACTGAGCTATGACGACACAGAAAGTCAGCAAGTGTCCCGAGTTCCCAGACAGCCCAGGCACGGGGGCAGCCCTGTGCACTCTTGATGCCCCAGGGACTGCTGGGCACCTGTCCAAGACCAGGCTGTCGAAGGGGCCTGCATATTGCCTGTCCTCAGCTGATGGGACCCGAGGGTGTGAGGGAATGGAGGAATCCAGTAACAACTACCCTTGGGGACACTGCCTGCCTAAGGACACCTGGCTTTACACTCTCCTGCTCTGTCCTTACCATGCCTTTCACGGCAGAGGGCATGGCCACCCATGAGCCTGTGGGCCAACAGCCACCACATGCTGGCCACCCAGCCCGAGGCCACTGTGTGAGAGCGAGCATGTGACCGGCAAGGACACGACACACTCACCACAGCCTGGTGCAGTCGGCTGAACTCCATGTGGTTGGGCGTGAGGATGGCCTTCTGGTACCCGAGGACGAGCGCTGGCCGCTCCGTCACCAGCCAGAGTCCGTCCTGTGCAGGATGAGGGCACTCTCACTGAGGGGCCATGCAGGGCTGCACTGGCTGGGCATGGGGAGGAGAGGCCACACTCACCGCGTCGATGACCACAGGGATGTCCCTGGTCTTTGCAGCTTCCAGAATGCCCTGCAGAGAAGGACACTGGCTGTAAGCCACACAGTCCTGGTGAGACAGGACGGTGTGGGTTGTCAGAAGAGACAGGAGCACTGCAGGAAGTGGCAAAACCAGTCGGGGAAGGAAGAGCCCTGGGGACTGGGCCACCTGGCGCTCCCTCACCAGGTCCCAGCACACATGACCCACTGGGCTCACGCAGCCCCCACCCCATCACCATCATGGATGCTCATTCAACTTCCCTGACGTTTTGATGCAGTGCTGGGAGTAACAGCGAGCCGTTTTCCCTTGATAAAACTAATCTTTTAGGTCTGAAAGGCTTATTTAAAAAGACACACACGTGACAGCACAGGCTGTTTCTCATCATTTGTCACCGGCACGTCGTGACAAATCCACACGTGGCAGCCGCATGTATAGTGGTCTGTGCTGGAAAATGAGGAAACACGAGAGCTGCAAGTATAATGTGTGTCGCCACGGTAACGTGCTCTTGAGGGAGCCACAGAGCCCCGAGGCCCCAGCCACCAGGGAGTTCCAGCTGGGGACAGTGCCTGCAACTTGGGACAGGGCCGAGGTCACGATGTGCAGAGCTGCAGGCAGGAGGCCCAGTCCTTCTTTACACAGGACACCGTGCGGCCTGTGCCTGTCTCCTGGTGAGCCAAGGCTTCTGCTGAAGCTGGCTCCGGCCCGTTTCCCACCTTGCCTTGCAGAACTCAGTAATTTGACTGTTGCCTTCTCTTCAGCTGATTATAGACAGCAGCCCAGAGTGGACAGTAGGGTGACAGCAGCTCTGCGTGTGTGCACAGCTTCCATGGCTGAGCCACCATGAAGGCACCTGCCCGCCCACCGGCACACGTTCAAAACCATACTGGCAGGAGAGGGGCTGAGAGCAGGAGAGGGGCTGAGAACCCCCATCACAAGTTGGGAGGTGTCATCACAAGTAAGCAAAAGTCTGGTGTATGTGCCTGACTGCTAGGAGCGGCCCCAGGGAGGGCTCAGACCACAGACCAAGGACATAGGGATGGGGCCTGCAAGATTCAGGAAGTGACTGTGCATGGGCAGCCTGGGTAACTCAGGGTCCGTCACACAGACCCAAGGATCCGTACAACCCTGTGACACCCCAGTGCCCCTTCCGCAGTGGAGGTCACAGCACAAGCATGGGCCTGGGTGGATCTCTGCAACCTGTGAGCTGGGACTCGTGCCCAGTGGTTGGCCAGTCACAGGCAGCCCTGCTGTAGGTGCCACTCGTGTAGGATGTCACACGCAGAGCTGGAGGCAGGAGGCCAAGTGGCTGCTGGAGCAGGGAAACAGGCACAGTGGGGTTGCAGGGTGAACTGTTCGGCAATGTCCATCCAGCTGCTCCCCAGAACACCTTGGCCAGCTCAACACTGAGTCTCACCTTTGCAGGCTTTGGGCTATCCTGAGAGACGGGGCAGGAGCAGAACACAGAGGAACCCATCCAGTGCCTTCGAGGCCCATCCCCAGGCAGGAAGATGGGGGGGCAGACTTAGCTGTGGAGCACAAAGCCCTGGGGGGTCCTTTCTGAAGCCTTCAGACTTTCCTGGCACAGGCCACAGGGCTCACAAGGGTGTCACAGGCCTCTGAGCCCCTCAGGCACTGCTGAGGTGGGGGAGGTGGTGCAGTTCACAGGGTCCACATATACACGGCTGCTTTGCAGAACATGTCCCTGGACACTGAAGCCTTGCTGTCCCCTGCCATCTTCAGCCCTGTCCCATTTGGCTCCTCTGGCAGGGGGTCTAAACCGTGCATGGCTGTCTCTGTTACTGCCGTCCAGTGCTCTTGATTCCAGGATTTCCAATTCAGAGAACCCCTTAAAACCTGCAGGCGCGGGCGCCACCACGATGGTTCTGGGATTCACCTTTCCCCGTGGCACAGGCACGGCCAGGACGAGAGCTCTGATCCCATACTGGGAGTCGTCAGAACCACCTGCTGTCAACACCTGACCGTGTCCTGTGCTGCTGGGGCTGGAACCCAGGGCCTCCTGACACACAGCTCCCCATGCCACTTTCTTGCCAGCTCTGGTGACCGTGCCCCGCTCCCTGCCTCCTGAGGGCTGAACTCCAGGGACTGGGAGATGACGCCTGAGCACTCAGCACGCCACCTGGTTCTGGAGCTGGATATGGCCGGCCTCCGGGATGGCATCAGCAGTCAGTCAGTGTCCCCTGCCCCTCATCCCACGCCTGCCATGCGGTCACAGCACACTGTCCATGCTCTGTGCAGAGGAGCCCCGAACTCGGCCACATCCAGTGCTGTGTCTTCTTTCAGGGCGGCAGCAACAGGTGCCCAGCAGCTCCATTGCCACTTGCAGGGTGCAGACACCCCTGCTTCTTCTCCTGATCCTAGATGGTGCGTATTTGCATTGCAGTTTTTCGGGGGAAACAGTTTTGTCCTTTAAATGAATGCAGGTGGTGGCATACTTTTTTGAGACAGGGCCTATGTAGTGCAGACTGGCTTTGAACTCACAGAACTCTCCTGCCTCAGCCTCCTAAGTGCTGGGAGCCAGGTGTGCTGGCTTGGAATATGGATCTGAAACCAGCTCCATCAGGAACCTGCTATGGCAGACCTCAGAACTCCTCTGCAGAAACACAGTGACAGAAACCCTCCCAGGGGAGAGCAGTGTGCGACTGGGTCATGCTTGCTTGTTTGGGGCTCAAGGTGGCCAGAGGTGCTGCAGTTAGATTAAATCATGAGGGTGGCCCTTCAGCACTGGAGTTCGAGTCCATATGAAGAGAAGACCGCTCCAGTGCCCACCTATGTTCCCAGCTCCCTAGGAGGCTGAGACAGGGGGATTGCAAGGTCAAGCCCAGCTTGGCAACTCAGCAACTTGGTGAGATCCCATCTCAAAATTTAAAAAATATAAAAAGCGCTCAGGATGCAGCTCAGAGCAAGAATCCAGCCTTCATTCCCCAGTACCAAAACTTGAGGCCACAACCCTGAAGAGAGCCATTGCCGAGAACCAGCGCCGAGCGGGAAGAAAGCAGTGTTTGCTGTCCGAGGCACCCCGTTACAGCAGCCTGATCCAAGACAAGAGACTGTGCTCTGCCAGCTCGCAGGCCTGGAAAGCAGCCCTGACAGATGCAAAGGAGCTGTGTCTGCCTTCCTGCCAAGCGCAAGATGAGAAGAACGCACAGAAACGCAGGACAAAGGGCCACAGCCTTGAAGAGGGTGATCCCCAAGACACGTAACAATGAGCTGGGAATCGTCTGGGCCACAGTACAGAGGAGGACACAGGCAGAGGCCAGGAGAAGCCCAAACCAGGCGATGGACTGGGAGTCTGGGGACTGCAGCAGTAGAGAAGGGAAAATTAGGTGAACATAGATGCGCTGTGTTGGGGAGGTGCCACTAAGGCCCAGAGCCCACAGCTTCCAGGGTTCCGTGAGCCTCAGTTGCACTGTGGGGTCGCCAGCGAGGGCCCGGGCAGGACAGACAGTGACGGGGAGCAGAGGGCCTCGGCAGCCCAGGGGCTGAGTGGTGGGAGGCTGGGCCAGGACTCAGTGCTTGGGGTGGGACTGGGGCACGAGCTTGGTGGTGAGCACCAGGTGTAGGCTGGTGGCCCTGCCACCCAGCAGCCTTGGTGTCGCTGGATGCCACCAGGTAAGAGAACGGGGCAGGGACAGAAAATAGTCACAGTGGGACAGCAGTGGCCCGGCCCGAGGCCCAGGGTTCACAGGTGGCAGGGAGCATGACCCGAGCTGGACTCGCGCAATCCCTCATGGGTCCCCTGCATGTAACCCATGGCACAGAAGGATGCCATGACTCATTGGAAATGCCTCACCCGATTCGGGTCACCCACCCACCACAGTGACCGTGCAGTGCCAAATGCCACTACACACTGCGATTGGTAGCTCCCATAGCCCCTGGGGTCACTCTCTTCTATAGGACACAGCGATGGTCCCAGAGGCCAAGTGATCACCAGGGCTTGTCACACTGCTGGCCTCCTGTTAACCCTGACAATCTCCAGTGCCCCACTGTCACCACCCAGCAAGAGGACCCCAAGGAGTGGAGGGGATGGGACGGGACGAGCCTTACCTCCACATTCTCCAGCATGTAGTGGTCTCGGCCCAGGCCAGGCCCCACCACCAGGGCATGCAGTCGGGGCAGCCAGGCCTTTACCTCCTGCTCCCAGTGGGGGCTGTCACTGCGAGGAGAGGAGCTTTCTCAGGACTCTTGTTTGCTTTCATCTCACAGCACTTCACGTGGCAATAGTTCCGTGAAGACTCCGGCTTCACAGAAGACACCTGAGTGTCCCAGTGGGGACTGCCAGCCCTGCACCGTGGGCTCAGGACCAGCACCTGATGAGAAGCAGCTTCCTAGGGTGCTGACTTGGTTCCCAGGCCACCCTGGCTGCACACAGGAGCTCCATGGGCATCGCAGGAGGTGCAGCCATCACCCCAGGGAGTCTACCTGCCCAGGCTCTCACCAGTGCGGACCTGGGCCCATCCCGGGAAGCTCATGTGAGCGGGGTCCTCCTGTCCCCTGGACCCCAGGCTGGCTGGAGCCCACTGCTCCTGATTCCCACAGCATGGCAGAGACTCACAGGACCGGGTGAACGATGAGCTCCGGGCTGTAGGACTTGATCACCGGTGCCGCCTCAATGGCGCAGAACACGTGTGACAAATCTGCCCCCTGAGAAGTCAGGCAAAGGCTGACAAGGAGTAGAGCACATGGACACCATGCCACTGGCTGCAGCTCATGGGGTGCTAACCAGCCTAGCACCCAGCTCTGGGCCCACATGGTAGAGACCCCAACACACAGCTGGACCATGGCAGGCAGAGGCCTTGGCTCCCTCCCCAGAAAGACAGAAGAGAAGGAAGGGATGTCAAGGGAGGGGAAGGAAACACCTAGAAGTGCACGCCTGTAAGCCCCGTTACTCTGAGGCTGAGAAGGAAGATCTCAAGGTCAAGACCAGCCTGAGCAATTCAGAGCCTCTGCCTCAAAATATAAAGGGCTGGGCCACAGTGCCATGACAGAACACCGACCTGGTACTCACCAGGCCCCACATTGTGTGCATGCATGTGTGCATGCATGTGTGGTGTAAGTGTCTGTCTGTCCCTCGGAGCCACAACTTGGGTCCCCAGGAAGCACAGACTTGGGAACCTCGCCGTTGGCCAGGCTTTGGGGGCTGAGCCAACTGAGGAAAACTGGAGTTCCTTTCTTTCTTTCTTTTTTTTTTTTTTTTTTTTTTTTTTTTTTTTTTTTTTTGAGACAGTGTGACACTGTGTAGCCCAAGCTGGCCTCAAATTTGCATCAATCCTCCTGAATGCTGATACAAGCATGCACCACCACACCCAGTGAAGCTGCAGTTCTGAAGGAGCTGACGGCTGACACAAGGACTGAAGTGCGTCCCAGATGCACTGTGGAGAACTCAGCAAGAATAAATCAGTCTGATATAGCAGGTTAACAGACTGCACAAAAAGGATAGATTATGCAAAGGTGTTTCTGTCACCTGTGACTATACTGAGGCATCATTTAGATTTCTATCAGAAACATTTGCTTTAGGGTCACAGAGACATTACTTATGTAGCCCACAGTGGCCTCAAACTCAGTGATCCTTCTGCCTCAGCCTCTCGAGTGCTGGGATTATAAGACTCTGTTTTTTTTTTTTTTTTTTTTTTGTCTTTTTCATTTTTATCGGTACTGGGGCTCGAACTCACAACCACCTGCTTGCAAGGCAGGTGCTTATGCCGCTGAGCTAAACCCCCAGCCCCAAGACTCTGTTTTGTTTTCCCACTGAGCTGGGAAAAGCATCTGCTTTGTTCCTATTTAAATAACCCAACTTCTCCCCCAGAAAAACCCCGATGAAGTTGTCAGTAAACTCACCACTTTGAGAGCCGAGATTGCTGCAAAATACGGGGCCCCTGTGTACCTGAAAGGGAGACATCAGAGTCACAATTTCTGCAACTGGGTGCTGTCCCAGCTAATGACACCTGACCAGTGAGACCCTGGAGCACCCTGCTAAAATGTGATTATCGGTGGGGACACGGGAGGTGGCAGGCGACCACGTGCATGCCAGGCAATGCTGGAGCGAAAGTGGCGCAGGTGGCGCTGGGGCCGGTCTCCAGGGCTGCACTGGCCTGGGCACTTTGTGACAAGGTGCAGCTGGCACAGGCTTCCTCAGGGGAGAGGAGGTGACGCCAGATCAGGGTAGACAGGAAGGGACCCAGTGGCAGCTGCAGTCCTTGCACACCCACCAGGCACCACGTGTAGGAATACATGGACTGTGCTCACACTGGACAGACAGACGTGCACACAGACAGCGGCACCGGGTGGGCACTCACTCTCGACAGCCTCCCACGATGCCAATGCGGCCGGCCTGCCCCTTGTGCTTCTCACCAGTCAGGGTGGGCACGATGGCCCTCACCAGTGGGAGGGCATCTTCCATTGCCTCTGTAGGGTGCGCACTGTGCAGTGAGAACGCCCCCTGCATCACTGGAAAAGAATTTGGGGCCACTCAGGGCTGCAGCAGCCAACAGCAAAGCCACCCAGGGCCAGTGTGCTGAGGGCAGCGTCCCGGGATCCCACAGGTTTCACTCGAAGACTCCACCAGGTCTGTAGGCAAAGGGCGTCCACAAATGACACTCGGGCACCAGCTGCTGAAGAGACACCCCCAGACCAGCTGAGTCTTTGAGGTTCCGGAAGCTCTACCGAGCCCTGGCAGGCCTCACCCAGGGAACTGAGCGCCCCCAGTGCCCCCACTGCAGGAAGCCTGCAGATGCCGTGTAGTTCTAACTCTTGGGGTCCTGGCAGCCCAGAGAGGGCGCTGAAACACAGCACACGTCTACACAGCCCAGGTGGCATTCTACAGTGGTCTCACCCTTCTGAGCGGTCTCCAAATGGCCGTTTTAACTGCCTGAAACACTTGCTGCAGTTCTGTTTTACCTTGATACTTAAAACAGTTCACACCAACTTCTGCTGGTCTATTCTGTAGGGGTCAACCCAGGAGTAAATAATAAAGCATATATTCTCTAGAATTAAGGGACCTTCTCTAACAAGGCACTTGGTTTTTTGGGGTCTCTGTAGCGCAGGCCTGTCTTGAGCTCACGGCAAGCCTCCTGCCTGATCTCTGGGAGCCCAGGCTGCATCACCACACTCGTGGCTCTTAGCCATTTTTATCCTGCTTGGTGGAGGGCTGAGACGGCAGGCCTGGGAACCTTGGCTAGACTGCCTCAAAATACATCTCTAATGGGGCTGGGTGCGGCTCAGTGGTCCAGTGTTTGCCTGCCATGTATGAGGTGCTAGGTTCAATCCTCAGCACCACAGAAACGAGAACAGAACGTTTCTCCAAATACCCAGCCACGGAGAAGGTCCGGGGCTTCACAAGTTCCACTGAAAGCAGCTCTCTAAAGGAAAACAGCTTTGTCTTTGACTTCTCCAGTTTACCTCTCACTCAACGAAATGTTCAAGTGTTTTCTTGAAAACTGAAGGAACCCAGCCTTTCTGAAACAGTGTCTCATCTCACTAGGTGGCCCAGTTGCTCAGGCTGGGCTGGAACGTGTGATCCTCCCAGCTGCTTAGGGCCAAGAGAAAGAGACGCAGTTAACCCCTTCTCAGTGACTTCCAGCCGGCTGAGCCACGGAGCACATTCAAGGGCCTCTGCTCCCTCGGACTGCGGTCAGGGCGACCTTCTGCTCTCAGGGACATATCTGCAGCTGTCACCAAGGTGCCCGCTCTCATCACACATTGTGACTGCACTATCTCCACCAGCACCTGGACCTGGGGCCATGAGGCCAATAGAGCCCGCTCCCTTGGTCCCTGTGGGTGCTGCCCAGGTCCAGAGCAACAGCGACCCTGGACTTGAACCCCCAGGGGCTGGGCTGGCCACGCCACTCATTGCTGGGCTTCTGTGACCTCTTCATCCTACACCTGGAACCCCAGTACCCACACTGGCCAGGTGCTGGACCTGCTCTTTCCAGGCAGCACCCCAGGGCTCCCCCAGGTGGCCCCTGAGATGCTCCTTACACTGCTCCCTCCTTTTAACCACTGCCCAGGCTGAGGGACGTAGTGTCCCTCATCCACAGCTGCTAAATACTTAGCAAGCGTGGGGACACGATCATGATTTTCATTGTCACTAAATAGACATAAACTGCTTTTCTGGGTGCCTGTCCTAATTGGCATATCTTCTGTCACTTTAATGTCTCCAATTGCTCTGTCCAAAAGTGGACATTTAAAAAGACAGAAATGCCCCAGGCACAGCGGTGCATGCTAGAACCCCAGCCCTGAGGAGGCTGAGGCCGGAGGATCGATCACTTTGGGGCCAGCTTGGGTTGAACTACAGAGTGGGACTACCTGAAAACAAAAAACAAAAATACAGTTTTTGAAGTTTTCAGAGAAATATGAGGTGTGAGCCCAACTACATGAATGCTTAAGTTTTTAAAAAATTTTATTATGGTAAAGCATATTGCCACAAATCCCCCTCAAAAATGTTCCCCTTAGCTTCAAGCACAATTATCCAATCGTTTTTTCCTGCATCTCCAGTGGTGCTGCCCAACTGCCTCAGTTACCCTAAAATGTTTTCCTTTCGTGGTCATTTTGACTTTGGGAAGACAAGACTCATACGGTGCCAGGCCCAGTGAATTCGGTAGGTAGGGATACAGCGTTCTGTTTCACTGAGCTGCCTTTCTGTGGGATGGCACCTGGCAGCAGCAGCTGTCACACCTTGGTAAGGGCACTTGGGCAAGAGGACGCCAGAGCTGCTCCAGGAAGTGGTGAGGAGGACATGATGAGTATGCTCCAAGGACAGGGGACTCACAGCAGAGTGTCGCACTGTCCTGAATTTGTAAAAATTTAAACTTATCCTACATTTAAAAATCAGACAGCCGGGTACAGTGACACAGGCTATAATCCCACCACTTGCCGTGAGTTCAAGGCCAGTATGGGCTACACAGTGAGTTCAAGGCCAGCTTGAACTGCATAGGAGGACCCTATCACTCCCCTGCCCTGAAAAAAAAAAGGTTACAGGTTTAACCTACTATTCCTTGTCTGAATTTCTGTGCAAACAGTAAAATATGCTTAATGACTTCAGGAAGTCTTCCAACATACTATCTAGTCAGGAAGGAAGGGAAGTCAGGGGTTACTGTAGGTGATTACTGTAAAGTGTCACAACACAAGCCTCAGGGAACCGCACTGACACCCACCCAGCAAAGTGAAATCTGGTTTCCATACTAACACACTTGTCTCCACTGAGACAGGTATGGGTAGGCATCGCTCTCCGTCTTCACTGAGGGTAGGATGCCGAGCACCGGCCCTGTCCCTGCCTGGCCTACGGGAGCGGTGCAAATATTTCTAGATGACACAAATGTCTCTTGTGGTGGCAAGCTTGGCCCTGGCTGAGGGGAACCATCAGAGATGTGCACACCTAGTCTTCATGTCGTGTGATACGCAACACTTCACACAGTGTTTAGAGTCACAGGAGAGACCAGTGACATCTCACGACAGGAGAGAAAACAGCTTAGATTTCAATCTGTGGATGCTGGAGACAAATATTGACAGGCATCCAACTCACCCAGTGCAAAGGACTCCACAAGTAGTGCCTGGGACTGTGCCCCGCCTCTCTCCGGGGTCACAGTCTGACACATGCCTTCGTGGTCAGCTCAAAGGGTCCAGCCTCAGCTAGGGAACTGTTGCAAAACATACTCTCCTCATCAAAAGTGCAAGTTTCACGGGGACACCCGGTGACCCTTATGCACTTTGCCCATCAGCCAAAATGGGACCTCGACAGACCTGGCACAGAACAGTTGCACTCATGGGACCAGCTGCTGGCAGGACAGTTGGGGAGCGCCTGTCCCTCCATACAGGGACCTGTGCTGTACTGGCCATACCAAGTATACCCTTCATCTGCTCCCAGGGATGGGAGGCGGCCCTGGTACCCGGGGCAGGGGTGCTAGACAGCACCTTTCTGACCCGGTGGGGGAGACCTGGCACGAGCTATTCCAGCCCAGCACCCACGATTTCAAAGCAAACAATGAGATGCTGCACATGCTCCTCTCCTCACTGCATGTGAGCTTCATTTAAATGCTGAGGCCACGGAGCCATGGCAAGCGTGGGTGTCCAATACTAGTGTTTTGTAGTTTTGGGGTTTTTTTTTCTTTTTTTAGAAAAGGCCTTGTTCTATAGTTTAAACTAGATCTGAACTCACTATGTAGCCTAGGCTGCCCTTGAACACACAGAAATCCTCCTGCCTCAGCCTCTAAGTGCTGGAATTACAGGCATGGACCATCACAACTGGTCACATTAAGCACAGTGATTTGACCAACCCACCCATGCACAGGTCACCTTTCAACTGGTGGGCAAACATGTTGACTTGATTGGGGAAGGCAAAAGAAAAAGAAAAGAAAAAACAAGGAAGCTGAGTGCAGTTGTATATGCCTGTAATCCCAAGGCCAGAAGATTGCTGTGAGTTCAAAGCCAGCTTGTACTGTATTATGAGACCCTCTCTCAAAAAATAAAAAACAAAAACCAAAAATACCTCTAACACTTTGTAGGGAGTCAAGCAAAGTGGTGCATGCCTGTAGTCCCAGCACCCAGGAGGCTGAGGCAGGAGAATCATTTAATCTCAGAGAGTTCAAGACCAGCCTATGCAACACAGTGAGACACTATCTTTTTTTGTTTTGTTTTGATTTTGGTATCAGGGATCAAACTGCAACCTCGAACTTGCTAGGTAGGTGCTCACACTGCTGAGGTGAATCCATGGCCCCATACTCTATCTTCAAAACAAAACAAAACAGGGGCTGGGAATTTAGCTCAGGGGCATAAGCACTTGCCTTGCAAGCAGGCGATTGTGAGATCGATCCCCAGTACTGATTTAAAAAAAAAAAAAAAACACAGAGAGAGATGATTTGGGGATTTGGGGACAGCAAACATCCTCTGAAAACAAAATTGCCTGAAGACCTGCACAAGAGAAAGCTTTCATATGTGGGTATTTTTGAATAACTCTAAGAGCACAATGTAACCCACAGCTTTTTGCCATGTAACTTTAAAAGCTTGTTGTGAGATAACCAAAGCAAAGCAACTAGGATCAGTGTAAGGCTTCCCCTTGCACCACAGGGAAACCCCACCAGCTGCACTGTGGGGCCAGGGCTCCCTTCGCACCAGTGCTGCGGCACCTGTGGTGGGAGCGCTCCAGCACTGGGCTACACCCCCAGCCCTGTTTTATTACTTATTTCTTTTTTTTGGTATTGGGGATGGAAATCATGACCTTATGCTTGCCAGGCAGGTACTTATGCTGCTGAGCTAAATCCCCAGCCCTTATTTTATTTTAATTAATTAATTTTTTGGTACTAGGGATCGACCTCACAATCGAGCACTTGCAAGGCAGGCGCTTATGCCACTGAGCTAAAGTCCTAGCCCCCTATTTTATTTTAATACTAGGTCTGGCTAAGTTGCCCAGGATGGGCTGGGATGTGTGATCATCCTGCCTCAGCCTCTCAAGTAGATGGAGTTTATCATGCCTGGCTGAGCAATACCATTTTACCAAAATGCTGCCATTGGTAGGCAAAATACATTTTCCTTTAGTGTTCATGCCACTAACCCAAAAAAGTCAAATCTTCACCCACTAACCAAAAAAAAAAGTCAAATCTTTCTTAAATACCCTCTAAAACCACTTAGGAAGAAAATAAATCACTGTCAAGAACTACAGCACTTTAGAGCCATATGAATGCAAAGTAAAAATCCAAACTGCCCACCAGCATTCTGTCCCATTCACCTGAGACAAACAGCTTAGGTCAGCAAAAGGCCAAAGAAAGGGCAATTAAATGTCCAAAACTTTGTAGTAGAGCAGTTTCAGCTGGCTTCCAGCCACAAGCTGCTTGGATTAGCCACGGAAGTATTTCATTATATAAACACCACTCTGGGCTGGCAAAACAGGTCAAACCTGCTTGGGGGTCCTTGGGTGGCATTGCTTCCTCTGGCCAAAAGTGCTGTAGGTTAATTGAATTAAAAGCTGGTACATGTGACGTTAACCCCGGATGGCTTCAGATTCCAAAGCCGACAGCTTTACCTGCTTTTCGGTGATAGTTTAGCAGGTCAAAATAGCGTTTCAAAGTAAGGCAAATAGTTATCAAAAAACAAAAAAATCTAAATACAGCAGTACTTCGAAGCCCCCCTGCTGGTGTGGCGAGTGACAGACTCCTGGCGGTTCTCAGAGAACAGGCCTGGCTGCAGACAAACAGCCAACAGATCCCACAGCCTAGGAATGACCACAGTCTCCGGGCTTCAAAGGCCCCCAGCTAATCACTTCCTCTAAAAAACAACCACCCCTCGTATAGAAGATAGAAAACTGCCATCTCTCCATCTTATGAAAAATGAGATACAATATACTAGGCATAAAAAGTGTTAGATAAATTAATATTCACAGGATAGACGGAAGAAGCCATACCGAGCAGGTATTAGGCTCAAAATAATTAAGATCCACTCGTCCAGTTCCTGCCTGAATTCTTCCTTACGTAGTCTGTCCTACTTGAAAAGGGACCAACTAAGGAAATCTCGGGTCCCAGGGTCGGGTGGGACTCCGGGGGATCCGCCAGTGCCCGGGATCCGTAGGTCAGCGGAGCTAACGCCCCTCCCCACACACCCCCGCGAGGACCCATAGCACGCCCCAGGCCCCGGCCTTCCCTTGGACAGCCCGTCCCTGGCCTGGTTCCCCAAGCCCGGAGGGAGCTGCTCCGAGTCCCGAGACCGGCTCCTAGCCTGTGCAACCTGCACGCCCGGCTCGGCACTGCTAGCCTGGGACTTGGCGAGCATCTGCCCGCCGGAGAGAGGCCCGGCCCGCTCGGGACGTGCAGGACCGCAGCGCGTGCGGAGCTCCCGTTCTCCGGCCTCCCCGCGGCCGGGTACCCGAGTTCAGCGGCGGCCCGAAGAGCACCAACGCGGCCGAGAGCAGCGCCACGACGGCGGCGACTGTCACTGCAGGCCTGGCTTCCAAGTAAGTGGCCATCCTCGGGGCGGCCGGGGCTGGCTTACTTCGCGCGCAGATCCGGACTGCTCCACAGCGCAGACCCGCGGCCATCCAGCGGCCTTCCGGGTTCCCGGCGGCCACCGCGCCGCCCCCTGAGCCGCGGCCCTCGCTTCCCCGCTCTATCGACAGCCCCAGTCAATGCGCTCCAGCCCAGAATCGGTCTCCTCAGCGCCGGCTGAGTCCTGGGGTTCCCCGGTGGCCTTCACACGGGCGGCGGAAGCAGCCTTGCAATTCGCTGCAGCTGGGAACTCGCCCCACCCCCCCGTCGAACATTCACCAATAGTACCCGGTACCAGCCGATTGACGGGCATGACGTCCAATCCGGCATATTCTTATCGGTCAGTTTTAAACCGTGGTGTTTATAAAAAAATAATTGAGGTAGAAGACTTCTGTATTGTGTCAGAACGCCCCAGAGTTGGCCTTGGACATCAGAAAGTAGGTGGAGTGATAGCTCCTTTACAGATTAGAAGAGTTCCAAGAGAGAGGAAGGGGGAATGAGGGGGAGAGCAAAAAGAATAAAGATGTGTTTATGTACCACCTCCCCGGAAGGGATGCGATCATTATGTACTGCAAATATGCACTAATAAAAATTAGAGAAAAAAAAGAGCTTCATTTTAAAAAATTTTTGATCCCTTTTGAAATAGGACAGACTAGCCGGGTGTGGTGGCACACACCTGCAATCCCAGCACTCAGAAAGCTGAAGCAGGAGGATCATTGCAAGTTCGAGACCAGCCTGAGCTACAAAGTGAGCTCAAGCCAGTCTGAACTGCATAATGAGACCCTGTCTCCAAAAGAAAAGAAAAGAAAAAAACAAATAAGACTACATAGGAAAAATTTAGGCAGGAACTGGATGAGTAGATCTTAATTATTTCGGGCCCCACACCTCTTCAGTATGACCTTCTTCTCCTTCCTCTAATCCTGTGAATGCCCTAAGGCCAACTGCACTGCCCAAATATATCATGTGCCTTTTTAAAAATGCCGGACCTACATGTCCCACCCCTCCCCTGAAACCAAGCTGGGACTCTCCCAAACCAAGCTCTCCACCCTCTCCCCAGTATAGTGAGTGACCACTCCATCACTGTACCTGTTGCATGCCAAGAAGCCTGAGAGGACACTGATTTCTCTCTTTTCCTTTGAGCCCTTGCCCTTCTTTTTGCTGCCTTTTTCATCTGACTGCTACCTCACTGAAGGCTGCCATCAAGGTTAGCTCGGTTCACAGCAGTGGCCTGTTTGTTTTCTAGGACTGTGGTGGCAAACTGCGAAAAGCCAGAAAGACATTATCTGGCCAAGACTCAAGCGGGCTGCTGTCACTGTTGCTGCTGCTGCTGCTGCTGCAGCTGCTGCCGCTACCCTGGCTCAATACAAGGGTGCTGCGAGCGAGGCCCGCTGCACCATGCACCTGATGAAGAAATGGGAGAAACAGCACAAGCAGATGAAGCACATGAGGTGGTGGATCTTGGAGGAGAACGTTGTGAAAGCCCACATCGACAGGAAGTTCCCTGTGCATTACCTCGCCGTGGAGGCAGAGCTCAAGTTCAGCACCATGGGATTGGGCCTGGTGACCCTTACTGACATGAAGTCCAGGCAGGAGGTGCTGGTCAAAGAGTGGGAGAAGCAGCTGGCCAAGAAGGAGCGGTCAAAGGAGCTGCAGCTGAAGCTGGAGAAGTTCCAGCCCTCCAGCCTGTCCTTCATGCTGGGGGAGGAGGAGGAGGAAGGCGCCCTGCATGAGGAAGAGCTGGAAAGGGAATCGGTCACCAGGAAGATAAGGAAGTTAGGGAAGAGTCCCGACGTAGAGATGAGCTTCTTGCCTGACCCAGACGGTGAGGAGGAGGAGAACCAGCTGCGGCAGGAGTGGGAAGCCAAGCAGGAGCAATAGTGAAGAGATCTAGACCGCTTTCAGCTACTGGGCCGGCTAGTGGCACCGGCGCATGGTAGCAATGCAGAAGGGTGACACGGTGCGGCAGCAGGCACTGGAGGCCCTGCGCCAGGACTTCTGTGAGTTCAAGTCGGCAGGGGTGCAGTAGTTCATGTCCATCAAGGAGTACTTGATCACCATGCACCATCATGGCTTCTACGACGTCATCGTCACCAAGGCACGTGGGAAGAGCAAGCCGATCTTCAACTTCACGTCCAGGACGACCTGCGGCTGCGGAGCAAGGCCAGCGAGGAGGAGGAGGACGAGTTGCACACCGGCACAGTGACGCAGTGCAGCTGCTACAGAAGAGCAAGCAGGTCTTCCTGGCCAGCCGCTGGGAGCCCTATGGCGGGCATGAGAAGAAGGGGGACTCGTACACCATCCCATGAGCCCTGCAGGCGGTCTGGGATTAAAGCCAGCTTTTGTTTAGGTTGAAAATGATTAAGTAAAGAGAAATACTTTATCTTGCAGTGCTGGAGGCTCTAAGTTGAGACTCAGGGGGAAGACAGGGTGCCCTGTCTAAGGCGTGGGGGTGGAAAGTCGCTGTGCTCTTTGGAGCTGCAGGCAGTGGGGTCAGTTCCTGGCTTCCCCTCTCAGCCCCCATCTCTGCCTCCGACATCCTTGACAGTGTACCAGCTTCTCTGACCTCACATTTCTGCTTGCTTACACCAGTCACATTGCACTGGGGCACAGTCTTAAGATGCTCATCTACAAAGACACCTGTGTCCGAACAGGTGGTTTACAAATGCTGGGGATTAGGGTTGCAGCCTATTTGGGGCACTCTAGTCAACTCATCACACTTCTCAGCAGCAACAGGAAATCCTTTCTTTTTCATCTTTTTATGCCTCTGCGGTGCTTGGGACGGGACCTAGGGTTTCCTTCTGCTATCCTCACTCCCCACTGAGCTGCATCTGGACGTGGAATATTCTTCCATTCAGAGAGTCAGGTCATGTCCGCCGTCTGCACAGGACTCCCTTCCCAGTCACTCAGAATAAAAGCCGGCCTGCTCCACTGCCTCCTCCACCCCCAACCTCCACTGTGGCCCTGCTTCCTCTCCCTGCACACCAGCCTCTCCTCCCTCAGTGTATCATAGCCCCGGCCATTCTGTCTCCAGATAACTGCACAGCTCTGATCCTTGCTCAGCAGCGCTCTGTGTAGTCAAAGCAATCCCTCGCCATTCTGTATAAAATAGTTCACGCCTCTTCCTGATTCTCAGTCATCTCTGCACGAGACTCTCCCTTCTTAGCATGTTTTACCGTGTGCCACACTCACTCATTTTTTTTTAAATTTTTTTAAAATTTTATTTAAGGAGAAAAGAAAAAAAGCAGGGAAAGGGTACAAGTTATACAGATTTACAGAAAAAAAATGAACAGTAGGAAATCACTAGTTAATGGATTACATATTGTCATCTTAGAAATAATTGTTCAAGTCACAAAATTAAAGCTTGTAAAGTGGACATTCCATCAATGATACTGCAAACAGTTCTGTTCATTGATCCAATAAAACTCTGTGATATCATTTTCTATCTTATACACTTAAATATACATGCAGTTATATAGTTTGGAGCACTTTCTTTTCCTCTCTTTTGTACCATGACTATTACACATTTTGGGTTTCATTGCTCCCACGGTTCTTATTACTTTTTTGGAAGAGAGTAAAACCAAATGTGACATAACAGAACAGAATCGGTCAAGTCAAAAGGGTGGACATAATAGATAATGTAAAAACATAATACAAGGTGATCAACAATGGTTACCATAATGCCTCCCGCTATCTCTAATAGAATTGCCTATATCGTTAGTTATAATACAATTGAACAAAACAGTAAAGAATAAAACCGACAAAACCAAAACATTGGAGACATTGTAGGTCTTCAAAAGTAGATAAAAGTCAACAAGAATGGGCGTCATAATTAATCTCATTATCTTCACAGCTGATGCCTAAACTTTCGAACCTGATACTATCCAGCAAAACAGAATAGGGGAACATTAGTTAAAAACCAGATGGTGAGAGTACTCACTCATTCATGATCTTCTGTGCCACTGTTTGGTACAGAAACTGTTTTGTTCCATCCCGGACGCTCAGTACCTAGAGCCTGCCCGAGTAGGTGTATTCTCAATTCTCTCCTCGCTCTCTCTTAACTGACATAATAAAATTCATAGATAAAGTGAACTATAATTTTATGAGTTTTAACACATGCATCTAGTTGTGTCTTGCTCTGTTCCTGATAATCTGATCTGGATATCTTGTAGTATAGCCTGGCTTTGAACTCACTCTGTAGCCCAGGCTGGCCTCCCACTGGAGAATATCCTCCTGCCTCAGCCTCCTGGATGCTGGAGTTACAGGGGTGTGTCATCACATCCAGGTACATGTTTATTTTGTAACTGTTGTCTGCTCAAGACAATCAGTTCACAGAAATCAGTTAATACAGCCAGGCTCCCTACAGGGCCCAAAGGGCTGGGAGTGGCATGCAGGCTCCCCACAGGGCCCAAAGGGCCTGTGCAGTGACTGATATCACCAGTGTGCAGAATCAGAGCCAGTGGGTCTTCAACCAGTGTGCCATATCAACTTTCATTCCTGGGGCATCACCCACCTAGATGATGCTAAGCCGGGTGTGGTGGTGCACACTGTAACCCCAGTGTGCAGGAGGCTGAGGCAGGAGGGTCACTGTAAGCTTGAGGCCAGCCTATACAACATAGGAAGAACTGGTTTCAAAAAGCAAAGAAAACAGAGGGAATGCCACCTGAAGGCGGAGAGGATATGCTGCATGGAGATGGGCAGAGGTCACAGGGGCACTGGGGACTGCGGGAGATGCAGAGCAAGATTGTCCCACACACCTGGATGCAGGTGCCTTTATCCTGCAAGGGAATAGATTTCTGCTGTGTATTTTGTTTGTTTGTTTTGGTACTAGGGGAGTGAACCCACGGCCTTTGCAATGAGCAGCATCCCTATCTTTTACAAAAAGTTTTTATTTTGAGACAGGGTCTCATTAAGTCACTAAGTTGCCCAGCCTGGGGTTGAACTCGAAGTCCCGCTGGCCTCAGCCTCCCAGAGTGCTGGAACTACAGGCCTGCAACACACCATACCGGGCTAGATTTCTATTGTTTAAAACACAGGATTTGAGGCATTTTTCCAGCAGCCAAACTTAACACAAGGTACCCAGCTAGGTAGGGTTTTATTTTTGGTATAGAACCAGAAATGTGGAGAAAACACCCCAGGCCTGAGAGTTACCCCACAATATCATCAGAGATCCCAGGGTGGATAGCGGTACTCCCCAAGGCCCTCAGGGATCC